GTCTTTCCCCGATTTCTCCGAAACTCCATCTCTTCCCAAGAACATCACCCACTTCATCCACGTCGCTGTCGCAATTGTTTTAATTTGCATGATACCCTTTGCAGTCTTGATTCTGTTTATAGCCTCCTTACCAATACCTTTTTGCGCCGCTTGTTTACTCCTGCCTTTTTCGTCAATTGATCATCTATTTCGCAATTCTTTAGCCTTGCAATCGACCACACCCTCACAATCTCGGAGCTGCAATTGCTATTTTGCAGCAGTAGGCCTCTCGGTCACCTGCTTCAATACCAGAATCATTCTCGGCTTGTTCAGCTTTGACAGTAATTCAATTGGCTCTTCAGCTCCTGGTCTACATCGACGCGGACTGCACTCTCCCGCACTGGGCACACCCCTCGAGACAATTGACATCGCAAGGCATCTTTCCGCCTTGCATGCTATCACCTGTTTATCGTAGGTTGGAATTCAGCGGGGTGGACGTTGCAATGCTATCGTACGACGTCCTTCCTCTTCCATGTTGGAAATAGGTCGCTAACATAACAATAGCGGCATCTTGCAAACCTACAGGTCCTCCTCTCCTCTCCATCGATAAGCGTGTTTCTCAACTCCTAAGCTACAAATGAACGAAAGTTTTGTTCCTCCAGCAATTACGTCCCGAATTAACCCTCGCATTTTCCACTCGCGGTCCTTGTCTTAAGGTGCGCCAGGTATGCAATGGCACCGGAAGTAGCTTTACCGGTCCCCCAAACTCCCAGTAGGAAGAAAACTTCTGGTGAGGTCAATGCAATCAAGTTGTTGGTTGAGATGCTTGTCATGGACTTGGAAAACAAATGGGGGTTGGGGCTACAGCTTCTTGATGGGTCGCCTAATAAAAGGCAACAGAACGGAGCGAGTGAAACCAAAGAGTGGCAGGTGGTTCATATGATCCAAGTTCTAGGCTGGCGGAGTCTACAAATAGAGCCTCTGCGAGAGTTTGAACAAAAAGCCGTGGAACTCTACACAGGCTGGAAGAGCAAGCCAAAGGCGGAGCGAGGTGTTGTACCCGAACGAACTCGTAACATCAAATACTCTCTTTCAACAAACGAAAAGAGGCAAATATTGGATCTATTGCACGATACTCTCAAGCCTCCATTTCGCGAGCTTGAGTCGACCAACAGAAATCGCACGCTGGATAGATCGGGAAGCTGTCTCTCACCCACAAGCCGCATCCAGCAAATAAAGAGTCCTCTTATCGACGATAGCCCTCTTAAGATATCGCTTCCTACCCCAAAACCAGATCCCAAGCGGCCTCGAGAAGAACTATTTTCAGACGTGGACCCTCGACACAAGAAAATCAAAACCCCTGGCCTGAGACCCGTGCCTCTCCCCGAGAGCCCCTCGATCGCAATGCCTCCGCCAACGGAAAGAGCAAGACCAAGCTTACAAGAGTCTCGGAGCTGGAGAAGCGAAACTACAAGTATGAGCGAGTCTATCTTCTCAAGATCGAACCACTCTTTCGATAGGAGTGGTGGGCAAAGCACCCAGGAAACTGTACCTGACCATGATCATGAGGACTTGCTTGATAGAACTCAGCCTAACATACCGGCTTCAGAAGCACATTTCAAAGCTCCGAACAACACCGCGCCAAGCTCCGACTACGATGCTGGTAGTGTTTTTGAAGGGAGTAGCTTCGAGGAGGTCTTCAAGCAAAGCACAGATGTAAATGGTCTATTGCGGGGTGTTGCACTTGACCCGGGACGAGTTGACGACTCTTTGTCTCAAGAGCTTCTGAATGTCGGGATTGAGAATAAGAGGAACATGCTGACAGTTGAAGATGTGTTACAAAATCGCCTTGACGCCGTCTTCCCACAGCTGCCTCCTTCACTCGACGTGGACTCTGTGAAATTGTATGTTATATACGAGATTACAAGAGTGTTCGTTTATGTTGGCGCCTCGATGGCTAGTGTGAATTTCCCTCAAACGGCCGATTTTGATGACTACGATAAGTTGTGGAATTTCCTTCAGAACCTTCCTGAGCTGAAGGGAAAGAACTTTCCCCCGAAAAGCGAAAGAGCAGCATGGGAAGCTGCGAAAACCGACTTTACTTCCAGAGGAACGGGATTAGAGCTTGGCGTCGTATTTTCTGGTAGCCTAACATATGAGATGTCTGAAGGCACGAACCCCTTGTTCCAATTCCAGCTAAAACCATTGACACTGGACAAGAAGCACCGGCTCTCCAGGAGACTAGGTGAGGATCGCTTCATACAGATCGACATGCCTCATCTACATGGCGATTTTCTGCCCAAAAGCCTTCAGAGCGACAGCGGCCATGCTGCTCTCCTAAAGTGGTTAGTGGAGCGTAGACATTGGCTCTTCGGAAGGACATGGAGACCTTTCCACTCTAAGCAAAAAGACCGAAAGGACAAGAAGGAGAAGAAAAATCACAAAGTATCGGATCCAGCTCATTGTGTCTACTTTTTTGCGGTCGATGGTCGTGGCCTCTACAACACTGGGTCTTCCATTTCACTCAACAATGAACGGCCGCAGGAGAGACACACTGCTATTGAGGTAGACGCTTTGCTCAACATGGTTAGATTAACACGAAAGAACAAGCATCAACCATATCTAAAGTTATTTTCGAGGACTTCTCTAGGTATGTAGTCAGTCTACTGCTTACTGCTTAGAACATGAAGTTAATAACAGTGTAGCTGTATCCCGCAATAACGCCACAGTGATATTGGAAAGAAAGGAAATTCGATATAAGCCGGACATCATATTCAATGACGAAGTGATGACAGATGGCGCTGGTCGAATGTCGTTTGCGCTCGCACAGAAAGTGACCATGATGCTCAACTTGCCGTACCCAGCAAGTGGCTTCCAAGGACGAATCGGAGAAGCGAAAGGATTTTGGAGTGTAGACCATAGCGATCGAACCGGCGAGCTTTGGATCGAAGTCTACGAGTCTCAATGCAAATGGAATCGAAGTAAGAGTAGAGATGAGAACGCCGTCGATTTTCATTCCGCCAATCGTACGCTGGAGGTTCTCAAGCCATCCGGGCCGCTCAGATCTGCCGACTTAAACTTGCAGTTCATGCCGCTTCTTATTGAAAGGGCGCTCGATAAGCCACTTATGAGGTACTCATTACGAGCGTTGCTGATAATCGGGTTACAAAAAGAATTAGACTATTTGCAAGCTTCACTTGAGGACGCGCCTTCGCTGCTCAGATGGGTGAACGAACAATACTCTAGCATCTCAGAAAGACTAAGGCATGGCGAAGTTCTCTTCGATGGGGGCATGCCAATGACATTGCACGAAAGGTTGATCATGTTGTTAGATGCTGGGTTCGAGCCAAAGAAACTCCAGCTCGTCACAGATCTAAGCAAAGATTTGTTTAAGAGAAAGTGCGATGAGTTAAAACAACGGCTAAATATTACTGTCGGTAAATCGACCTATGTTTACATGGTTCCTGACTTCTGGGGGGTCTTAGAGCCTGATGAAGTCTACATGGACTTTTCAAGCTTCGTTGATGATGTATCGGGTCAGTCAGGTGTTCTTCTACACAGGCAGGATGTCCTAGTGGCCAGGTCTCCCGCTCATTTTGTAAGCGACATTCAAAAAGTAAAGGCGGTCGCGAAGGTTGAGTTGATTGGATTGAAAGACGTTATCGTATTTTCAACTAAAGGCAATCCATCTCTTGCCGCAAAGCTTTCCGGTGGTGACTACGACGGTGATCTTGCGTGGTTATGTTGGGAGCCTTCGATCGTGAACAACTTTGTCGATGCCGAAGTTCCCGATGTACCTGATTTCGTCCAACAGGGTTTTGTCCGTCAGGATAAAACTACGTATGAGGAACTGGTCAAAAATCAGGAGCACCCAGTTTCACACTTCCTGAAGTGTTCACTGAGCTTCAATATGAAGCAAAGCATGCTTGGAATCTGTACGGCCTGGAAGGAGACGTACTGTTATAACCAAGGCACTGTCGCTAGCAAAGAGGCAACGACGTTAAGCGCACTCCTAAGTCTGCTCGTTGACCAAGCTAAACAAGGCTATTCGTTCGACGCAGAGGACTGGAACCGCCTTAGGAAGTCTCTTACAGAGGGAAAGAACGTGACGACTTTCATCCCCGAATACAAAAAGCTGAAGCCGGAATTCAAAAAAGACGCGAAGCACATCATTGACTTCCTCATGTATGAAGCGCACCTTAAAGTGGACAATTCACTCACAGCTTTTCAAGCAGCAATACCACAAAACATTCCCCAATGGGACGCTGACCTCTCATCACTTTATAATTGGGCCGCGGAGGCAGCAAAGGTAACTAACGAATGGGATGGGATTCTCAAAGATCTAACAAAAGATCTCGAGGCTCTCAAACTGTCATGGTCCAAAGAATTCACGAAAGGAAAGGCGTCAGAGAACCCTGATGACGCTGTGGACTTTAAGGCTACACTTTTCGAACACTTCGAAATGTATCAGAGAATACAGCCTAAAACGATAACAACTCTTACACACCTCCTGCTCTGCGATTATGCTTCACCGGAATACACGCATTGGTCATTGCTCAAAGCCTCGACGCTCTTTTCATCGTTCCACAAGTCTAATGTCAAGCCGGTTGTCTGGTTTATGGCAGGCAGGCAATTGGTTCATTTGAAATCACTCAAGGTCTCTCCAAGCGGTCCTCACGCCATTGTTCCCCATATGTACGTGTGCTACAAGCCCAACAGCTCGTTCATCAGACAGCGTCAACGTCGTGACGTCGAATACATCGAAAATGTTGGTGTCAGATCTGTTGATGAGGTTGATGCAACTCAAGAAGATTAGACTCTGCTCATTGCATCTCTTCTCCAGAACGGCTGGCGGCATGTTTCGTTTCGTTCGGTGAAACTCAGTTACCGGATTTATTACCTTTGGACCTTTATGAGGTTGACTTACAGACGAGTACCAAAAACGTACTCCGTCTACGAAATAACGATTGTACGAATAAATAGCAGTTCATATTCCCCTATTTGGTCTGGTTTGCCCGCTGGGCTGTTTTTTTCTTAGATACCCTGTATTTTACTCTTCGATTATACCCTTGGATGGAAGTGCTGTTCTTCTGGTTTGTGGGAGGCAGGTGGGATTCAATGGGATCTTGGGAGGAAGCTGGCTCTAATGTTGTCATGTTTGGAAGCGTTTGATTGAACAGATAGATAAATGTTCTGGAACTGCAGATGAAATGTGGAAGATGCTGGTTTGATGGATTTAAATACAAGACGAAAGACTTTCTTGCTGAATATCCTTGGGCCTTCTTTTACTTCGCTTTTCACAAAAGTCATGCTCAAGGGCTATTTGATGGATAATGCCCGCGCTTTGAGCAACATGGTGGGTCGTACCCTTTCAAAATGGCTGGGGCCTCGGAATCATCTTATTCTGTCTACTATGTTGTCTTTCGGACATTGACTATGACATAATGGAGCTATGGTAGCTCACAGAATGAGATCCGCAAAGTCCGAAAGACGACGTAGAAACTAATATAGGGTAATTCACCGTTCAATTCCAAGCCTAGCAGAGGCCCGCTAACCAGCATTTATACCAGGTAAACGCCTTCAAACAACACCATTTACCAAACTTCTTAATCTATCCTATGCCAGGACGAAAACCACACATCATCCCAAATTCGAAATTCGTCTAAGTTATGCTTTACAACCCATTATTCTTCAAAAAATCAGTAATAACCCTATACGCCCCCGTCGCATTATGATGAAAATTAATATTATGACTCGCCCCCGGATGCAGCGTCAACTGCAACGGATTTGCGTTCTTATAGATTGTTCGTGCTGGTTCTTCAAATATGCCTGTGCAAAGACCATCGCAGAATATGTAATCTTGTTCTCCTGAGATGTGCTGTGATTTCTTTAGCTGGTGGAAATGGGATGATATGGAGTGCACTTACGAGCGCTGGTTTCGTGAAATTACTAGCGTCCGTTGGACCAGTTAGGAGAGTCAGGAATTCGGTGATAGCAAATGGTTCTTTGGCGGCTTCAACGAAATCGATAGTCGCTTCGTCGAAATTGGGCTTTTTGAAATAACTGTCCTGAATCAACATCCGTTTATCCTACTCGTCACTGAAAAGAACTTACTTCTGAACCTGCGCAAACTTATCAACCCATGTCACCATCCCATTATCCCTATCCCCATACAATCGCGGATTCTGCAATGCTGCAATCCGCGGCACAAAACTCCTCGCAAGCCCATTAACGTTCAATCCCGAGCTGTTGAACCCAATCGCAGTCAATATCACCGCGTCTGAGATCTCCGGTGTCATCGAGATAGCCCCATGAGTAGCTAACGCGCCAAACGAAAAGCCGATATGGGCGATTTTCTCGGCCTTGATGTCGCCTGTGTATTGTCCGGCTCGTACGAACGAGGTGAGGACTTGGATTATGGATGTTGCAATGCTGAGTTGGTTTTTGAATCCGGAGATCCTAGTTCAATCAACACCTGTCTCTTTGCAACGAGTTTAGGAGAGAAAGGGGGATTTACTTCTGACTAGCACCACACCCCAACCGATCATAGAAAAACACACTATACCCCTCCGCCACCGCCGCCTGCACAAAATTAAACTCCTCGGGCCGCCACGGACTATTCCAATGTGCTCTCGCCGGTCCAATCCCATGCGTCGCGAAGATCACGGTCTTCTCCTTTCCGTTCTTGATCTTCGGCGTGCAGAAACTCGCTGCGATTTCAAAAGTTGCGGTCTCTGGAGCCGTCGGCGGCTCGAGCACGCCTGGGAAGCCAGCGGACGGACGGGTCGTGGCGATGGAGAGGAAATCGGTGAGTTCGAGGTCCGACGTCCATTTTGTGAAGTTGAAGAAGAAGTTTGAGGAGGTTATCGGGACGGGGATTAGGTGGTCGATGCAATCTGCTGTTGGGGGGTAGTAGGATTGGGTTAGGGAGGAGAATGAACCGGAGTCGTTGGGTCGGGAGTGGGTTGAGGCGAGGGAGAATGGGAGGAGGGATAGGAGGGTTAGGGTGAAGGTATGCATTTTGGATTAGAGTATTATATGATTTGGAAATGAGTGTGAGGGCTACCAGGCCGAGGAGAATGACAGAATGAGAGAATGTGAATAATCTTGCACAAAAGTCCCAATCTCTGCGATCTTATACTCTCTCCGCCGTTCCTACCTTCATATTGTGTTTTAGAAATTCTTGAAGAAGATAGTGGTCGAAATTGAAGAGTTACAGGTTGGAAACTTCACGATGAGGTTTGCCGAATCGGGATGCAAGTGACCCCGGCTCGAGGATCGACGTGGCTGCATCTGACACTCCCGCAACTTCAAGGTTTTGCCTCGATTAGGATGCCGGCGTGCTTACTTAGACAGCCTTATTTTTGGAATGGGGAAGTTCTGGTTTGTCATGGTAAATTGTCGTGGTGATGGGGAATGAATTCAAGGTACCCCATAAATCTTTCAAGTATTTTACCTAATTAAAGCTACATTTCAGCGAAAACGTATGACTTTACGATATTTTTTGGTGCAGAGAACACAATGATGGATTCGGCGAAACCAAATTCATCCTAAGAATTAACCTTACTTCAGCCGCAGTAACGCTCTCGTGTAACTTCATCTGAACTTCCTGACAGTAATGTCGTAAAGCACACGAAGCTCGCATGCGCCAAACGCCCGGCGGGATGTTGTGTCCAGAATGCTCAGCTATCAATACTATTACGACTGGCTATCCTGAATCCGTGCTAATATAATATAAACGCCAACAGCTCCATCTCAAACCTAACGCACTCACCGTAAGCTCCTCCAAAATTTTCATACACCCCAAAGTCCGATTGACCATTCCGAACGGTACCACTACAGTCTTACTCCCAAGCAATCAGGAAAAGGGGTAAAACTTTCTTGTTTCTCCAATGATGCATCCTTCGTCAGCTTTCAAGTTTTTGTGCAAGAAAAAGAAGGGGTGTTTTGGTTCTCGCTTAAGGCTTAGGGGGGTGCGCCCGAAAGGGGAAGCACTAGTGCGGAGGTTTGTACACTTGTACCCTGGTAAGCACCAGTGTAGCGATGGTCTAATTCGGAATAAACATCTCAAAGTAGAATATCAAAATGCAAATTATTCAGTCGATGGTATGATTTTACAATATAGTCTTATTAGGTATTTGCGCCGTCTCGAGGTCGCTAAAATCTACTAGATATTACCCAATCGTTCACCGAATTACATCAGTCCATTCCCACTGCATTTCCCTCGCACGCATAATAGCGTAATATCTTAGTTGATGAAGAAAATCTTGTCATAAACATATACAACACCAAATTACTCGCCCTGCCTTGAAGTGTCCAACACCTACAATGTTGGTACGTAGTGCAGAACCCCAACGAGTATCCTACACTCTCAATTCGAATGCACTTCAAATTCTCTCAATAACCGGTCCGCGATATGTCTTCTTCGCACGAACGAAATAGTATACCGACGCAATTATCATGACCGCACCAAGCATCAACGAACTATAATTCATGCCCTTGACGCCTGGACTCATAGCCGTTGGCCAAAAGCTGAAAAACAAAATAACAATCATGTATAGACAGCCAACCGCATTGATAACTGTGCCCCAAGGCTCCGGAATACGCCAAGCTCCCCAAGTGAGCTGGTGAGACCCGCCTACATTCGTCAAGCTTGTCGAGTTAGGGTTGAATGGACCAATCGACCCGCGAAGACGACGCCAAAGCAGGAGACTGTTTCCGATAAGATAACTGAGATAGAGGGATGATACGGTGAGTGAAAGAACGTCGTTGAATGCTAATGCACTGCCGAGGATGATGAGGGCGAGGAGGAGAGCGATCCCTGTTGTGAGTGCGATGGATATGAGTGGCACGCCTGAAGTTGCGTTGACCTGTTACTGTTAGTACTCCTGCATACATGCTAGAGTGACGAGCTTACCTTGCTTAACTGTTTCCACCCAGGCATCCCCTTATCCCTAGCGAAACTCCATGTCATCCTACTTGCAGTTGCCACGAATGCAATCAAGGCGCATATCAACAATATCACAACGAGAGAGGACATTGCTGTTCCACCAAGCGTTCCTGCGGCACCTTGGAATATGGCCATGAATGGAAAAGGAAACTTGACTACTTCTTCTACGTTGCCGAGACAAAAGAGAGTGGCTAGAAGCATGCTGAGGCCGAGGATGCCGTTGATGGTTATGGAGAGGATCATGGTGCGTGGGACGTTCGTGGACGCGTTTTGGATTTCTTCGGACATCTGCAAAGATCAGTTAACACACGTAAGGAGAATTATCTCAAACTGGATAACGTACGTGAACAGCACTATCAGCACCTATTATCTCGTCAGTAGACCCCTAAAGAAGAATAGACACACAAACTAACCCAGAAAACTATAAACCGGTCCAACCAACCCCACCATAAACGCCAACCCCTTCGTCCCAAACCCCCCCTCATTCAAGAACACCGTGAAAACATCTTTGGCATCCGTCTTCACCGGGCTCAAGTACACCAACGGAATCAAAATCGCAAAGAAGCCGAGCACATGAATGACTAAAATCAGTGCTTCAATCGCCGGGAGAGCGCGTCTCGCAAACGCATTGATGCAGACGGCGAAGAAAACGCAGATGTAGAAGAGAAGGAGGGTTTGCCAAGGTTGCGGGACGTGAGAAGGTGAGTTGAGGGCTATGAGCGCTTGGATGAGACCACCGGCTAGGAAGCCGCCGGCGGAGACGTTGGCTTGCCAGGCTGTTACGTTGATCCACCCTGTGTGTTGAGTCAGTGGTATGCATTTAGGGAATTGAGTTTGGGTAACGTACCGACGAGGTAGCTTAGAAACTTCTGGCAAGAGGTTGGTGCAAGCATGGATACCCAGTGGTATTGACCGCCTGCTGTTGGTGCCATAGAAGCCAGTTCCCCCATAGTTGAGAACACAGCAAGGTTTCCAAACCAAACGATTAGAAAGCCGTAGATCGAGCCTGCGTATCCGCCATTTGCAAAGCTTACAAGAAAGAGTCTGTCGAATGTCAGCTAGGATGACTGTTTTTCGAGGAGGGAAATTAATACAGTAAAACTCCTTCCCATGTACACATAATAGTGCAACTAAATCCCAGCATAGACATGAAGCCGAAATTACGCTGTCACCAAACGTATTAGCATCTTTCAAATAACAAGATCTGTTGTGGCAAACCTTCAGCACGGGTTTCTTCCCCAGGTGAGACAGAATCGCATCTTCGCGATCTATATCGGACTTCTCTCCACGGTTCGCGTTTGTTACGTCTTCCGACGAAGACATGATTATGTGGATTATAAAATCGAACGAATGGATGTTGTCTCAAACTTCTCTTAGTGAGTGTGTTTGTTTGTAGGAGTTCTAAAACGAACGTAAATCGAGATGTATGTTGTTTAAGTACCTCAAATGTATCTTCTTCGCCAAGTCAATCAGTGAAAAGTCTAATTCAGATGAGCCTCATTGTTTTGATCGGCTGAGCTTGCTTTCTATAATTAGTAGCCCTCCATATATAGTCTACTAGTCCAGATTTAGATGGAAAACATACTAAAAATAAGCGTAAGTGAATTCACTCTACTCTCCATCTCGTTGACACAGTAGGTAGAGTGGTGAATAACCAACGCGCTTCTCGGCTATACTTGTAACGCTCGTCAATCCACGTATTAGATACCATCTATTAGCTGTGTGGTGTGACACCTGAATGAAATCAATAAACGAATTACTAGTAGCATAGCTTACCATGTCTGTCATATCAAACGCGCTTCTCGGCTATACTTCCGATGCCTCGTCAGTGAACTTATTTGAGCCCATCTATTAGCCATATACCGTGATCTTTGAATGAAATCAATAAATGAATTACCACTGGCATAGCCTACCAGCACTGCGCCATTAAACGTGATCTTATTGTGAATAGATCGATCTGTTGTCCAGTCAGTCACCTCTAGACTATAAGGGTCAACATTCTTGCTCCTGCTCCAGACCCTTTTCAACCTTCACACACATTCGTTACATCTTTGGTCCTCGAACCATAACCAATACACCGAAGCAGACTCCAGCAAATAAACCATCAACTTACACACAGCCAACCCTCACACACAACATGCCTCTCTCCCTCCACATCATCCCCTCCCACACCCCCCACGATTTCACCCCCATAACCACAACTGAAGACCTCGCCTACCGCTCCCCCTACAACACATTCTACGAGCTGCTCCGCGGCTCCTCGCTCGCAGACTTCACCACCCGCCAAGCAGCCGCTCACGTTGGCGATCCAAGCAGTTTCTGGTGTTACGTCGTAGACGATGCCACGGGTGTGGTAGCTGGAGCTATGGGTTGGAATTTGCATGAGGAAGTGGTTGATTGGAGGGGGGTGGAGGTAAAGGCGGAGTGGCTTGAGGGTGAGGAGAAGGAGTTGGCGGATTTAGTGTTTGAGCAGTTTTTTGGCGGGCGGGGTGCATGTATCGGCACACCTCACTTGCGTAAGTCCCCTGGAATTCCTTTCTTTCTTCAAAGCTAACACAGACAGTGATATCGTACTGCTTCACCCACCCCTCATACCGTCGTCAGGGTGTCGGCCGACAAATGATGGCCTATGGTCTCGCCATCGCCGATGCAAAGGGTCTGCCTACCTGGGTTGAGTCCACGGAGTGCGGACGCGTTTTCTATGAGAGTTGTGGGTTTGAGATGGTGAACGCGTTGGAGTTTGAGGTTGAGCGGGTTGTTGGGGAGAAAGAGGGGTTTGAGAAGCGGACTGGGTTGGAGTTGCCCGAGGGGAAGAGGTGGGGGTGGGTTTTGAAGAGGGAGGTGAAAGAGGTAGAGGAGGTTGTTGAGGATAAGGATAAAGTGTTTTTGTAGAGCGGTATTTTTGAGGTGGCTGGGCGGACCTGCTCGTTTCTTTTGGTTCCTGCAAGGAGGACATGGTGTAGATGAAGCAGGACTCGGCTTCTTAATTTTGTCGGTGGTATTTCGATTTCTAAAGAGAGGATAATTTTTAGATTCTGAGAATGGGTAAGCGGGCGGATGGCAACCGAATCTGGTCGCTAAGCTGATACAATACGTATGTTCTGATAATAGACAGATTTATTATACTGCTCATTCCTCGGGCAGTTAGCTAGACGTTATGCAATAACATGTTGATGAGAAGCACACTTCCTTCTGGGGGTAACTTTACTATATGATCGATGTAGCCCAGCCATATCTCGGCTAGCTACGTGCCATACTTCATCTTCCATCTTCTAAGTTTGAAATTCTTCGCGCACCACTGAACCTACTGACAGATGGAATCCAAATTGTCCAAGACCATGAGACGGCAAGTCGGCCACACTCAACAAATAAAAACGGCTTTCCCCCAAAAGATCCAATAAGGTGAGCCTATGTAACGCCAAATCGCACACTCATATTTCCGAGTACTCCATTCATCCCCTCGATTTGTTCTTGTGTAATTCATAACTGCATTAACGATGATCTCAACAGAAGCTTGTTTGACGTACAAACCAATTTCGAAGTCGTCCTGAAGCCACAACACCCAGCCAGCAGCCTTCCACGCTTACATGACATTACAAGCAGGCTCTTCAAATTGAAATGGCTGATGCAGCTTCTCTTCATCATCCGGATCGTCCAAGTCTTCCCAATACACATGTTGCATAACGCCATATCTAGGATTCGTAAGGACGTTTGCAATCACTTGCATGCATTCCGGGTCCTCATCAGCCAGTAGTAAAACCGTGAACGACACCCTTTTCTCTTTCGCCATATCCTTGTTTGTCTCATACGCCATGACCCAAAGCGGATTGCGTAGGCGTCTCAGTTCCTTTTCTATAAGATCCCAGTGCATCATAAATATCGTGGTGATAAATGTGAAGTTTAGAGCGGACAGAGGTCGTGTGCCGGAAACGTCGCTGGCAATATCACGCTTCAAGTAATCCAATAGTACAGTCCCACTCAGTAACGTGTCTGCAGATTTGGGTTTGGGTAATGTGCCTCTGGTGTAGCCTTCAGGTAGAGCTGGTAACAAGCTCTCGGGTATGTCTTCCTCAGATTCATTCAGCAACATCTCTGAGACTGAGGATAAAGACAAGATGACATCTTCAGGCATGCCCTGTGCCTTGGCCCGAGCGACAAGCGGCGAATCTTCTAAGATATTTTTGCCAGTCTTGGGGTCCTTGGATGATTTAACTTGGGCTAGCCGATGCGCGCCCATCAAGGAAATTACTGGAATTTCTTCGTCTGTAATACGTTCTGGTAGCCAGTTTGACTCTCTGAGTAGCCTGAGGAGCGACTTCTCCTTAAAGAAGCGATTTGCGTTCAAGCTCACAATTCCATGCATATCAGTTGACGTCCGGCTAATACCCCGCCGAATAGCTCGCCGCTGAAACAAGGATCGGCGACTCCCAGTCTCGCCCATCGCGCTGATAAAGGCGTCGTCAAAGTTATCAGTGGGTATGTCGCCGTTGGCGAAGAAAGTAGTCAAAAACAGACTTTGAATGGTAGCGTAGAGACCAACTTCCTCCTCGATGTATCCCGTCTTTACCAACATGTTGTGAAGATGAATTAGACTAAAAGGCTCTGGCATTCGATCCCATATTAGAAAGTTGAGTCCGTAGGCTAGTTCCAGTCCTTCCATCAAGCCCACGCCACATAGATATGGTGAGTACTCCTGGACGCCGTTGGTGTTAGAGTTCGAGAATCTCGAAGGCGGGATGTCGGTGAGGCCGCTTATATACATAGATTCTCCTAGCCAATTGATGAAGTCAATGTTCAAGTCTTCTAGGGTCGCATCTACAAGTTCGTAGCGTTTTGGGTCCCCATTTAGCATGGCATCTTTTTTCAGAACCTGTCTCAAGATATCAACAGCTTGCAGGTATCCATGGCCTATCCGTTCATTTTCGCGATCCAGAAAGAGATCAACATCTCTTCTCAGACGAAAAGCCTTATTTGGAGGAGAAAGAACATGCCCTCGAAGAACATTATTGTACCATCCGCGGGATATTGTGAACGAATCAACAATGCACTGGATTTGAAAGACGTGATGAGGTTGAATACTTTTTCGAAAGTCCGTCCCTGGTTTTTGCATAGCTAGGGAAGTGATATGACCTGCGAACTCGACCAGTCCGAATAACCGACGGTGCTTGTTCCAAGGACCAGTGGTGGACCAATCGACTTTTGCCAAATCGTGATTCTCTCCCTTCATGGTATTCCTTTGTACAACTATTGCCGAGAACTGATTAACTAGATCGTAAAGCCAGTTGACAGTGTAACTACGCCGCCATTCGATACGCTCTTCCTTGCTGGCCTTCTGAAGGTCCAGATTAGGGTTCCAGTTGTGGATCTTGCTGAGCATGCGTTTCGTTGGCTTACCACTTCGGGTCATTTGAAAGTCATTGATGAAGTCAACAAGGTCGGTGTAGGCATGGATAAGAAATTGCTCTTTGACGTCGATATCCGTGTTTACTTCAACTTTGCTTGTAGCAGCTCCCGGCTTCACACTGAGCAATTGCATATGAAACATGCCTTTGGCTTTATCAGCATCTCCCCTGGTGATGGTCTGCATGACTGTTTCGTAGGATTCATGACCAGGAAATTCAACAAAAATACTCGACTCGCTCTGTTAAATCCAAGCAATACAGGTGTTGGAAAGCGTTCCGGCAACCGCCGTATTCAAACCTTCATAGCAGGTCTGCCGCCAAGTTCTTGCCAGGTACTGACGAAACTCAATCCACTGAGTTACCAGTGAGTACACAGCCATGAGGTAATCGGTAATTATTCCATCATCATCTTCGATAATGCGGTAGCTTTCCAGTGGGACTTCGGCCAGATCTGGTTCCTTGACCAATGGCTTGGTTTTCGGTTTTGGTTTCTTTCCCTTCTTGCCTTTCTTCCCTTTGCCAGCGGGCTTTTTTCTTGGGTGAGCAGATGGCTTGTCCGAGTGATTATGGGTTTCTTCTGTTGACTCTTCACCGTCCGAGGAGCCTTCAAGTTGAAGTGTCAAAAAGCCATTCGCAAAGATGGACTCTTCCAATTCCTCGTCTTTGTTTGTGCCTTCCTGACTCTTTTCCATGGATGACCACAAAGCGCCTCCAAGAGCTTTGAAGCACTCTTGTAGAGTATCCAGAAAATGCTTGTGGGCAACATTGCTTTTCTCAATCTCGGGATCTGGTCTTCTAGATACAATCTGCTAAAACAAGGAATATGTAGCAGATCGTGCAGCAATGATTGATAGAAGAAGACGATAGATTTTTGATGGAATTGGATCAATGTGCTCAGCGATGAGCTTTGAGAGGGGTAAGAGGGCGGAAGTGGAAATTTGACCGGTCGTGTTCAGCGTGAAAAGAGTGTCGCTGGACTTGGCCGATTTGCGTGAAGCCTTGATGATGTTGTTTGAGACATGAAGCATCCAGTGAAGAAACTTCTTCTGGTCTTGCTTGTACCGCAAGTATGAGTTTTGGTCCGCCATCAAGAAGACGTTGTGATCATGTCACGACGTAGAATGAGGCAATGGATACCATGATATACTTGTGGCCTACCCGTTTGTTCTCATGCAAGTGGCCATGAAAGTGGACTTGAATGGCAGACAGAGACCAATCATCTATGATCCTTGGGTTGGTTGAAACTGCCGAGAGCGGAATGGTCACGTGTAGCGCGACGCCTTCGCGATTGTTTTTACGCGTAAAGAAAAGTTTCTATCCCGTACATGCTCTGTACATTCTCTGTTCCTACACCATCTTACCAGCCATTGATATTGATCGAAGGATCAACCATTTACCGGCTCGTTCCATTTGAAAACAACATGTCGTCGAAGGCAAGCTATTCGTAGCTCTTGGCGCTGCGAGAAACCACGAAAACGCGATGCTCGAGTTGTCCTGGAACAGACGGATGGAAGTGGCCGCCAACCTACGAACGAAACAACCAGTAAAACAGGGCGCCTTGACGGAATAAGAACAATTCGGTAATCTGCGGATTCATTGGAGCGAAATTCTTCTGCCGTCAAGATGGCATATCGGCTACTAAGCTCAGAGGGAAACATCAAGGTCAAAATTAAGGCGCTTTCCAGCTACCCTGACGCCGTTTCGCGGAAAGTAAGGAACTTCAAGTGTCTACGGGTGTCCAATCTACATCGGCTGCATCGGCTGCACCCACCTCGCTTTTGGCTGTTTCCGAGCTCTTGTTAAATATCCTTTCTATCTTATAGCAGCTGGGAAGCCATTTGTCGACTTCCTCTTGACGCCCCCTCATCTGCTGCACCAGAGCTTCCGCCGCCTCCAAGGTTAGAGCCATGCCTTCAACGATCAGTAAGTGGTTAAATCATGCTGAAAGGATTCAAGGCAAATGCTTACCATGGCCGTTGAAGCCCGCACAGATCCACAACCCCTTTTCTCCTGGGTCTTCTCCAACGATAGGCTGTTTGTCGACCGTATAGCCCATGATGCCAGTCCACTCCTCTACGACCTCACCATTATCTCCCCATACCTCCCTGCCGTAAAATGTTTCTGGCATAGAATTTTTCAAATGTTTGGATATATTTGGGTGGATGGTTGAATCATCAAGCGTCCAGTGTTCTCCTGCCGTTCCCATCGATCGACCGCCTCCTATAATTGAAGTCAGTGATGGAATGGTAATGTCGGAAAAGCATGGAAGACAAACCGATGAGCAGGTCGCCCTCGCCAAGTGTTCCGTCTGGCCTGCTCTGCCAATATTGGAAGCTTGAACTGTTCACAAGGCAAGAAACCCTCTCTAGTACTGGATTACGGTCAATCTTAGTGCCGGGGCGAACCGCAGCCATTTGACCTCGAGTTGGTACCACAAACTTTGCAACCGGTGGGTACAGCATTCCTGTGTACGCGTTTGTTGCCAAAATCACCTTTTCGGCTTCAATATCTCCTCGATTCGTCTGCACAATCCAAGCAGATTCGTTATCACCTCCCGCTCCAGTCTTGGCAAGCACCTTCATTACTGGGGTATTGCTTTGCAGATTTAGCCCCTTTTCTAGGCAAATCTCGAGGAGTGCGCAGACGAGTCTGTACGGGTGTAGAGTGTACGATTTGAAATGGATTGACCCGAGACTATCGGCCACTAGAAGACGCTCTTTTGTCTCCCCCGCGCTCCAGATTTCGTATTTCTCCGAGAACGTTATCCCAGTCTTTGATGCATATTCATCTCGATATTTAAGAGCGGATATGACTGTGCTCCAAACCACTGGGCATGTATAGATCTCTGATGAAGTCCTTTGCCGCCAATCGCAATCAATTTTCAGCTCTTCGACGAGCGTCTTCATGTTCTGTACATTTGCTTCTTCTAGTTTTTGCACCATACAGGCAGTAGCCTCCCCAAACTTCTCTATGTCTTCTTCGAATCTGATGAAGTTTCCGAGTCTGCAATGCCCTCCGTTGCGGCCAGTGGCACCACTGCAGGTTTGCCGAGCTTCAAGCATAACAATCGAGGCGGACGGCTCTGCTAGAAGAAGTTTATGAGCAATCATTGCGCCAGTAACGCCTGAACCAACGATAACATATTTGGATTTGGACGGCAAAGTTTCTGTTGATCTCAGATCAGATATCTTTGATGGCTGCGTTTGCCAGTATGAACGCGTCGGGTTGGCGACTGGCAAGCCGGGTTGGAAGGACGATTCGGACATGCTTCGAGATTCATAGAACGGTCCAGGAGTGAAACGATGAGATTCTTTGTCAGAGTCTATTATAAATAGGTATATCTAGCCATTCGGATCTTCATTTGTTTTAAAGCTCCCACAAGCTCTCTCTCTCTCTTATCACTAGGCAGGAATCTGCCGTATCGATGTGCGTAGTTGGGGGTTTAAATCGGTTGGACAACCCAGCATTGTCGTAATTATTGCCGCGCGCAACCCTTCACCCAGTAAAGGCGTTGTCGATCCCACAAATACGCTCTCACGCCCTTCAGGCAACTTGAGCTAGCCTGTTTCGGACACTCGCAAGTACTATTTGAGATGGTCTACATCTTTTCCCCATGATGACTGGTTACTTTCGCATCTTTCTAAGCGCAGTAATTTGTGGGACTCTACTCAAAAGTGGATCGCATACCCGTTTAGGCAGGAGCTCAAATATACCATTATTCACTGATTCTCCAATAATGAGCAAGTTTCGTATACACCGACACCCTTAGACGGAGTTGGACAACCTGGTGCCTAGCGACTAGTATGCAGCAATTGTTGGAAAGAAGCTTGAATACACGTGAAAAGCTTGTGAAGGTGGAGGGATACCAACCTAACAATACCTATAGGTAGGTACATGGCATTTGCGCCACACCAGATGCAGTGGCTTGCGTAAGGAGATACGAGTCCATTATTTTTTTGTTTGGATATGTTCATGAGATGCTACATCATATTCAGTGTAAAGACTTCGACGTTCCAAGGTTCTAGAACATCAATTTTCTTCTCCATTCCGAACCCGCATACCCCGAGTCCGTAGCCGTCATAGTACCTTTCATACTCCGTACACCATTACATCTAACAAGAAAGTATCCCGGTATGTCTATGGCCTGAGAATCGAAGGCTCGATAACGATCGAGATGAGTGAGTAGTTCAAGTATCGTGCGAATGAAGTATCCGTATTTTGTTCACCAACCAACACGATGTTCACGTTGGTGCGGGGAACTATTTTGTGGCGATCTTGGAAATCGCGGATATGGAGTACTTTGCATCTCCCCACTTATGGAGTTGAAATACGGGTATTGGCAACTTACTTGGAGTTGAGAATGGCTCAGCGATTGATTGTAACTACGAGGACTTTTATGAAGCCCTTTAATGGGTTTTTGAGTATGGTTTGTTTAGACTTGGTCCTATTTGATGTGGATTACCTGTACCTAGTGGGAATAGATGAGCGCCCTTTCTTTGGGCGAAGTGATACCTTTCGGTTTTCTTTTTTACCGTTATGCTGTAGTCAGGTATAATTATTTAATTTAGTTCCAAGAATCTTAAATGTTCTATTTGCTATTGATGAAAGCGTTGCTTAAAGAACTGTAATTGGTATGATTTGTTGACGTCGAGGTACATCATGGGAACTAGATTTCATTTTCTGGTTTGATTTAGTTCCCACGAGAACTTGAAGCTTGTCCTATACTATGATTATTAGGAAGAAAGTAGTCCTTCTTAACATTATTTGTATAAATCTCAATCTCGTGAATCAATAAAGGGCGCTCGAAGTTGTTGATTCGAATAAACAGGTCGTATTACGTCACGTGCAGTCCTCCGTCCTTGAGCCTTGGCATTTCCCCCACCACCAACGACAACCCATCATCCTCACCACCACTCACTGCCCTTATACAATCATATGCCATCCCTCTATCTTCACAACACCATACACAACTCATAGCTTATCACCGAACTTCACATTTTGATCACGCTCCTCGCATCAATCTGCCATGCGCTCAACAATCATGATTTGTCGCGCCCAGGTTTCAGATTCCCGAAGCGCGGGTTTCAGGATGAGGCTGGTGGGGTGGAAGGTCTGTGATGGGATGGCATATGGATTGACGGGTTGAGTTGACAGGTTGATGTTCTTCTTACTTCTAAGAATTTTCTATTCGAGATATAGTATTGGACGATAATCACATATATCATCACCGTCAACAGCAATCATCATCGCTTCCCAATTCGACCCTATTCTCCATCGTACATCGACATAAACACACAATGCTATCTTCGCCAATATCTCTCGTGTTCCTTGCGCTTGCGACAGGTGCGCTGGCGAGTGTGAATGAGGTACTACCGAGGATGGATCTAGGAATGGAGCTGGAGATGAGGGAGGAGTTTGCGGTGTTTCCTAGGGCTGGGGAGACGAATTTTCAGGTATGTTTGGGATTGTTCTCTTTTCTTGTGAAGAGAGGGGGATGAGAGAGAAGGTGGGAGAGGGAAAAGAAGGAGAGGAACAAAAGGAGAGAGGCATCGTAGGGGGATATGGGGAGGGAGGGCAAGAGAAAAGATGAGAAGAAATCGGAGGGTTCAAGATGTGGAAGGTTGGGTTGGATGGTGCTTGCGCTTTCTGTTTCGCGAATTGGTGGTAGTGAAGTTGATTCTCTGCGGTTATGCAGCAAGCGCTCAAGCTGTATAGAGTTCCCTCGCTGTACTCCTGCGCTTGGCTTCTCCGTTATAGATCTCGGTCATCTCCCTACTTTCCTCTTCCGCCCATTATTCTTGTACATATCCAAACTAACTTCCTCCCAGACATTCACAGCCGCACTCCTCTCCAAAGTCGCAGACCCCGTAATAGCCAACGGCGGCTCCGACCCAACAAAACCCTTTACCTGCAACGGCGACACCTTCTCTACCCTCACCGATGCCCTCAAACGGTCCTGCAGCAACCAGAAGAACGACTGTGCGAAGGCTGTCAATGATGCGCTATCGTCTAAAACGGATGGAGGGCTGCAGGTGAGCGATTGCGATGCCCAGGAGAAGGAGTGTAATTCTGCTGGGGCGGGGGGGTTGGCGAGTAAAGATCTGCAGGATGGGAAGGCTGACCAGTTGGTTTTTTGCTGAAGGCTGCATGCTGTGCAATGGTATATTGCTGGGACTTTGTTTTGGGGAGTTAGGATTTAACGCCGTGAGCTGGCCTTTTTCGTCTTCTGGCGTGTGTGACCGAGAATTCGGGCGTTCGTAGGATACGAGCAGGTGATATGTTTCTAATAATAGTTAGCGCAGATATCAAAAATGCAAAAAGCACACATTATCCAAGTTCGTTCTCTATTGATCTACCACATCTCCCTTCTAATTCTGTTTACCTAAATAGGAAAAAAACTCTAAAAAAATATTCAAATCCACTCACCCATAATGAAATGTTGTACTTACATGATATTAATATCCGCTGTTGATCGATTGAGCGAGTACTTCGTCCCGAAGGACTGCCGACTCCATGGCCTATTGGGTTGATCGATTGAGCATGAGTGCTTCGTCCCGAAGGACCACCGACTCCATGGTGTTGAGTTGTTGATCGTGAGTACTTCGTCCCGAGAGACAGCCGACTCCATGGCCTATTGAGTTGTTGATTTGACGTCGCGAAGTGGTGATGTCGGTTGGGTATTTGATCTGTGAACACTAGTTAGTGCTCGATTGAGTGTTTTGATGGATTGACCTTGCGGTCGGTAGCCTGGAGAGTGGTTAGCTGGAAGCGAGACAAAAGGGAGAAGAGAAGGAGGGTAAGTGGATTTGATTGGTTGTTTGGAATTTGGCTTTTTGAAGGATATATAAAGATGAGTGGAAGGGAGGGTGACGTAGGTGGTGGTGGGTGGGAAGGTGGGAAGGTGAGGTTGTGGGAAGGGGTGGAAGGAGGAGCGTGGGTGATAGATTGGGGGGGTTGATGAAAAGAGGCAAAAGATAATCAAACTCACTTGCTCTGTGATATGAAATTTGTTTACTTACTGAAAATCCACGGTGGAGAAGATTGAGAAGATTGAGAAGATTGATATTAAGACAAGTAAGGTCGGGTCGAGTGAGGATGGGTACGGTTGAGAAGGTTGAGAGGATTGATGTTAAGACCAGTGAGGTTGGGTCGAGAGAGGTTAAGGCCGACTTAGGATTGTGAATACAGGGATTCGTCGGCTTAAGAAATAGGGTGAATTGGATTCTTTAATGATTAGCGAGATGAATAGAAAGTAGGAATAGTAAGAGGGAGAGCGAGTGGGTTTGATTGGTTAGAGGAATCTTTGTTATTTTGAGATATATATTAATAACACAAAACAGTGAGGTAATTTAAGGTAGGTACCTAGATATAATTGATAATAGGATATCGAGTCTACGTAAAACTTGGCGTTCTGTTCTATTTAACGGTTCCAAGACACACAGCGATGTTAATTGAGAATATTTTGAAAATTATAAGAGTAAGCTTTTGTAGAAGGAAATTAATATATAACTCAAAACTTTTCCTATTATCGTCCAAAACAAAAGCCAAACATTAATTTCTTATACTCCTTCGCCTCTCATTTCCATATAAGCCAGATAAAAAACGCCAGGAAAATGACCACAATCGGGCTAGTACTGAAGGCAATAATTGAGTGTGGCCGGAACGAATGGTACATTTGCTTTCCGGTGACGAATACTAGAGATGCGATGAAAACTAAGGAAGTTATCGTGTGCTTTAGAAGAGTTGTTTTGAGTTCGGGTCGGAAGGTGATAGTGGGCTGACTGAGCCAAGCGAGGATGGTGTAGAGACGTTGTAGAATGTAGTTGAATTGTCCTGTAAAATAGGTTTGTTAGTTGTTAATTCTCAGATTTTAAGTGGTAAAAGAGCTGTGATTTGTGTTTTATCGTTGTGGGACAAACCTTCATGAGGCTCATCCGTTTCAGTCTTTACCCTATGACTGCCCCATGAGGACAGGAAAAGATCTTGCAGGTCATTAAGGAAGGAAAGCACTTACTCCGCAGAGGGTCCCTGATCTTTTTTGGAAAGTGACATGGCTCCTCTTCGTGTTCTTCGATTAGTTCGGGTTCCTCTATTTCGCCTCTGTTTTTCAGTCCTCCCTCGAGAATAGTGAGGATTTGAAGATCAGTTTCCAGAGAAATATATGTGAACTCGTCGGGCCAGTGTAACTCTAGCTCTCGTGGGTGAGTCCCCAAGCAATTATGCCGAGCAATGTGTAAAGCCGAGAAATATCTAGAGCTGTGCCCTCGAATATCTGCCCCAGCGTGAACTAGCAGTTGTGTGAAATCCAACATTCCTCCTTGTACCGCTGACATTAGGGGTGTATAGCCCTCAGGTAGTTCGAGTATAGTAGACGAATATTCATCCGAGAATTTCCGGTTTGCTTTTGCCTCGAGCCCGGCATTGGGGTAAGCTAATAAGCGTCTCAAGTCTTGAGCGTAATCCCTTCTTATATACTCATCAATGTACCGCGACGGACGAAGTCGGAGGGTGGTCAAGCATAGAATTTCGAACCCTAAAGCAGTCCCATCCAGCAGCGCACCGTGACGAAGTCTGACAAGCTCATCGACCAACATTCTTTTTTCTGCAACAAACCCTGAAATCGGACTTGATAGCCAGACTTCTGTTGCATCACGGAGATAAATACTAGAGTTTCCGAGCTCATGGTCGTTGGGAACAGGTAATCGAAGTCGGAACTTTTCCCAGTTATTTCGAGTCGACACGGTAGTCCAAAAGCGGTCATCATGCACTAATTCTCTAAAAAGCTCAATGGAAACCACATCATTCCCAAATACCACATCGAGAAAGGTGTCGTGGTCACGAACAAACGAGATGTTATCCGAGATGACCTTTTCAAAAAGCTCTACAGGAACGATGTTGTCCCCTGTTGTAAAGTATTTCCACATTGGAAGAGTTCCATACGCAAAAAGAACCCTATAGAATTTTTCAACAATTCTGTTATCGGTCGGGCTCTCTAGGTACTCTTTGAAAATCTCGTTCTTGACATTTTCCAGTCGAAAATTGTATCTAGTAGGTACAGCCAACCAGTTATCTGCCATACGCTTTAATACTTTGGTATATTCAGGGTCGTGGTAGCTAAATACAATGAGAAGCCATCTGTCGAGGCGGTTTTCAGAATCAAATATGTCAATGATGTCGGCGTACTCATTTTGAATCAACTCTACGCCGTTATCTAAAGGTAAGAGTGGCTCGAGATGGCAAGTATTCTCCAACAGTAAATCGCGATTGGTCTTTGCACAGCGGACATAGGAACCATAGTGGTGCCGCGAAGGCTGTGGATCTGCCGTGATAAGTAGTTTTCGAATGGAATAAACATCCCAATTCGTCAATTCACTCTTGAGCTTCAAGTCATTGGGTAAGAGCTCAACATGATTTATGAGAGACCATCTGTGTCGTTCAATTTGTAAGAAATCTCTGTCACAATCAGGATTTGCTGTATAGAATTTCAAGTAGTGATTGATACTACTTACTGTTGCATCACTTGTGCACCATGCATCAAGAGTAATCTGCAAACCCCATGAAACTCCTTTGTGTATTGAGTGCTGAAACATTGAACAGTTCGCTAGACAATTTTCTCAGCAAGCTTTTCTATCTGCCAAGAACAACTCATTACGTCCATGTACAGTTGTTTACTTACCTCTAGGAGAGAATTTCCTAACGATTCAAAGTCTAAGTAGCAGACATCGTTGGCAGATACAATCCCCGTGTCTAGCAGTTCCTCCACGGCGCGCACATCTGGACGGGGGCACTCTTGATTGCCGCATGGACAGTAGTGTCCAAAGTGTATTGTGCTGTTCCAACGGCAGGGGTCCTTTTCTTTATATCTCCTTCTATGTATACCAAAGAGATTCAATACTGATTCGTCAGTACATAACCTTCGACACGTGGGCTTCAGACCAATATGGATATGGGAACCGTTGGAATGGGCCCAACTAATATTGACAGTCAGTATATAACTTGAGATAAGCTTGTTTGGTATAAAACTGAATTCAAAATATCCTTCTGTTGGCCATTTCTTGTCGTGGTCGAGTTTAGTACGAGGCTGCTGATATGAATAAGCACAGGTATTTAGTCTTCCTAAGACCGTTTTATATTGAGAGTACCAGTAAGATCCAGTTGATTGGCCTTTAGTAGGTCGCATTTTAGAGAAGTGAAATCTACCTCCAGGAGTCTGCGAGAATGGATCCGAGATTCTCCCATTCGATTTAAGCTGCCGTTTGAGCAGCAATATGGAATCTTGGATGGATAAGATCTCAGGCGACAAGGATTGAATCTCTTGCTGGACCTTGCTTTGTGTTTCAAGCAAGTATCTCTCCATGGCCTGCTGCGAGGCCGAAAATTGTGGTTGTAAACCTTGAAATCCGTCGCGGACAGTGAGCTGAGTCTCAAGCAATGAATAGTTCGTTTCGACCTTCGAAAGTCGTATCAAGTCCTCCAGGGATGTAATTTGAGTAGAATAACGTGCGACGCCCTTGTCGATCACAATGCGTGTATCGTGTAAAGAGTCTGCGATTCGATTTTCCGAAGAATGTATGGAATCCTGTATGGCTGCTATTTGAGGCGGAAGAGTTTGAATTCTGTTGCTAATAAGATTTTGGGCATCTTGTATCGACTTCCCAGTTTCCATCGTTGAAAGTTGTATTGAGTTTTTGATGGAAGATATCTGAGGTACCAGATCTTGGACTTCGTTGCGAATTACCTGTTGCGTTTCTCGGAAGGAGGCATTGCAGTCGATTCTTAACAATTAGCAATTACACCTCATACTGGAGAATTGGCGTTACGCTGAAAGCTGTGTCAACAGAACTCCCACTGTACAAATCTGATCGTTCAGTATGGATGAGTATTTCTGGATCTCTTCATTCCGCAAGAGAAGCTTGACTGCCTTTTCCGCCCGACTTCGTTTCTTCCCCTTCAGGGTCGTCGTGTTAGTCTTTTGAATTAGCTACCAGCTATTCAGCGATAATCAGGTAGGCATCAACAAAGAACTAACTAGAGAAAATTCCTGCAAGGATTTTTTGAATTGAATAGCATGCTCCATGAATTGCTCCAAAAGCGATACTTCGGCTGGCGAGTCGGTCCTGGTCTTGCTCGCGGTATCGAGCAGTACTGCGAAGGGGTCAGCGCAAAGTAAGTGTACTGCCAATAATATAATTACTTACGATCAAGCGTAGTTTGATGAAGATTGACATTTGTTTCCAAGTTCTCTAAGTCTCTTAGGCCATTCCTGACAGAGTCGCTGATTTGCTTCAGCGCTTTCACAGTACCAAGAGCAAAAACACCGAGTTGAACAACAGAACCCGCAAGACCAACTGCTGTAACAGGATCCATGATAGCCGTGTGTTGGACTACTCAACTAGATTACGATTTATCGGGTACTTTTCTGAAGAGAAATCAGAGTTTCGTTCAACTTTGTTAAAGAAACACTACATCTGAGCAGCGGATTTGAGTTGAAATCAGACAAGGCTGAGATGCAAATCTTACTGCATATTCCACCATGCAGGTTAAAGAAGTGAGGCAATCCCAGAGTATTGGAGCCCAACATATCGTCCCCACTCACACCGTAAAAGGCTGCAATTTACCAATCACCACAAAGAAGCATGCCACTCTCCAAGCCTGCTTGTTAGCGATTTTCGGCTGCATCATGCATCTCCACCCATCAAACACCTCTGCAATTAAGTGCAAAGAGATAAGGCTCAGATGAAAGCCTGATTAGGCTGACCAGCACTGCCACTGAGAATTTGCATAGGACGGAATACCTGGTCCGGACAACCAACAGCCAACATCACCCAATGCTACCATGCGTGTCATCGCAAGTGGTTCATTCATTAGACAGGTTCAATATCAGCTGTGTAAATTTATGCACCGCCGTGGGGGCTGTATTTGTACATTCAGGTTTCTATCAGTGCACTTGGAGTTGAGCTACACTTTCTAAAAGAAGATATCACGCAACCTCAAATTGGAGACAGACCCACTCCTTTCACAATTGCTGTTCATCAGTGTATCAAAAATATCCGCTAATTGTTGATCGTATTGTTGATAATTCTTAGTCGTCACATGATTTTTGGTAAGTCGCTAGGTATGTGTTGCCCAGAGTACAATCAGTACATGACACCACCTCAATCGAGGAAAGCCTTCGAAGATTGAAAAAATTATTAAAATGAAATTTGGATTGAGGCGAGCTCTACATCAAATAGCCTTTGCTTTTCTTTGAGTTCACATTAAGCTGACTGCAACAATCATACAACTGGCAATAAACGGTCATGGGAATCAAACAAAGCTTCGCTCTTGACCTTCAAATTTACTCTGCTTATTATGCACAACTTGTTATCATCGGGATCTGCAAACAGTGAACGATCAGAGTACCAGTGTTACTCGGCTGACAAGGCTTTGGGAGATTGTAGCCTAAGACGTACCCAATGACCTATTGAAAATGAATCGGCTCACTAAAAAAAGAATGGATCCAGTTATAAATGATTAATACAGCCTAAACTAAATAACGCGAGCGAGTATAGTACTAAGTTTATGAAGACAACTCAAACAGGCCTGATTTCTTTTCGGAAATCTGCCACGGAGTTGCCCACAAAAAGATGCATAAACACTGTACGGAACTTCCACTTCAAATCTTAGCCACCTCAAAAGTTAGCCAGGCCCACACGTGCGATTTGTACTTTTCATTTTCGGAGTGTTTGAGACATTCATTGCAATCCATCGATAAATATTCTGGACGCAAGGTTGCCGTTGTCATCAACCCAGCACGCTGTTGACAACTTAGCTGCATTGAATGAATGAGACTTTCAATATACTAGTAAACAGGAGTAGAAATACAAAACTTGCTAAGAACTCTCTTTCCTGATATTCCAAATCTCGTCCCACCTCTTTCAGCGCCGCACATACCAAAGTGTAACAGCTATGAAAATGATCACAATCGGTCGTGTGAAGAATGTGAAGATGGTCCTAAATCGAAAACTTTCGGAGATCTGAAAAGTCGGGGATGTGAATATCGAAATAGCGAGGAGAAGGTACATAGCCGTGTTGAGCAAAAATGCGCTTATGGCGTATGAGTGTAGCATGACTGTTAGCTCGTTGAGACCTTTGACAAGGAATTGAAGCCATCGACTTGAAAGTCCTAAGATATCTGTGGAAATTGATAGTTAGAATATGTGTTCATTTTCTTGTGGCTCAGATTCCAACAACTTAGATACTAATTAAAATACGTATGGGCGCGCTTACCTCGATATCCCAGCTTTTTCTGTTTGTTGACTCGTGATAATATTAACTCGCCATCAACGGTAGACGCAGGTTCAGTTTCCTCCTCGTCGGTTCTGGTAATTAATGCGCCTTCAAGCAACCGCAACGTCTCCATATCTGTTTCAAGGGATATGGAGAGAATTATGCGCCGCGTACCGTACTCCTTACACTTTGTCCAATCGACCTTTCGGGGATGATCCCCTTGAGCATTGTGTCTTGCGAGTTGAATTGCAGAAAAGCCACAAAGTGCTTTGTTCTGGATTCCAGCGCCAGCATTTACCAAAATAGCAGTTACGCTCACATATCCAGCGTACACTGCTATCATTAATGGCGTGAAGCCTACAATCTCCTCAAAGACTACTAGGTGCCTGTTCTCCATATCTTGGCGATAGAACAGTCCATCTGTACCTATTTCTAGGTCGACATCTGGGTAACTTACTAGTAAGCTTAAAATACTTTCTACGCTGTGCGTGTATCGGCCCGGATAGGATTCCTTTTCAGCGACCTCTGGGTTAAGAACTAGCTGGAGGACTTCTTTCCCAAGAATGAAACCGTTGCACGTGGTGGCATCGCCTCTTTGAATCAATCTGTCAGCCAGTTCTGAAAGTCCCACTGATGATTCTGAAAACATGGGGTGTAAGAGTAAGTGGAGATACGGACTCATACAGCCTTCGTTGGGAGCGGGTATTTTGGAAAGTATGACATCCCAACCTTCTGGCACAGCTAAGGTGGTCCAAAGATGCTGGCTGTCTATTATTCCTTGAAATTCCTCAATTGAAAAACTCTTCCGTTTTGAAAGTAAGCTGTGAAATATTTCAATATTGCGTGCCATAAAACTATTTTCGAAGTCGTCGTTCAGGTTAAAATAGTTGGCGGGCCGATTACAATCTTCGATAAAGTATTGATACATCTGGAGAGTACCAAAATGTAGGATTTCTGACCTGAAGTTGTCCGCGTCCCAAAACGAACTTGAACTATGATCTTTGTTGAATCCGTCGAAGACCACATTTTCACCTGGTCTATGTGAAGTGAATATCTGGACGGTATGGTTGACCAAGTCCTAATCATTTGATCGAGAAGCTTCGCGTAACCTTCGTCAAAACGTGCGAAAGTGACTAGGAGCCATCTATCGAGACGATTTGTGGAGTCCAATATGTCGATGTAGTCAGAGTACTCATCTCGTATTGATTTGATGCTGTCTTTCCTTTGCAGCAAGTACCCAAGAGGAGAGACTGCAAATACAGAACCACACCAAAATTCATTATACTCCCAAGACTGTTGGCTGAAGCTAATAAGCAGTTTTCTGATAGGGCACCTATCCCAGTCGATGTTTCGATTTGTATCTTTCCAGAGAGAGCGTTCCTGAAAGTGGTAAACTTTATTTTCGAATATATGGAAACAACTGGTAATATCAAACATGAGACGCGATAGTGACCTAATAAGACGGTTAAACTCACAAGGAGGTTACTTCGGCACCGTATTTCAAAAGCAAGTGACATACTTCGTAGATGTACTCATAGTTGTCGAAGTGCATAGCAATGAGAGCTCCCTGTTCACAATTTTCAACCACGATATTGAACATGGATAGTTACGAAGAAACGTCGATGTACTTACTTCGAGTAGGCTGGATTGTTCTATAAACTCACGGGGACGTAACAGTACATCATTTGCAGAAACAACGCCGGAGCTGAGTAGGCACTCAACTGCAAGAGGTCCTGGCGAAGGGCCTGGCGAAGAGGATTTGTAAGTCTGCAAGCACATTTGGACCCCCACCATCTCATCAATCCATGTACCTTGCAGGTCCTCATACCAAACAATTCCAAGGTCGCTGCGTCGGTGATAATCCTGTGGCACATGGGCTTTAACCCAATATGTATGCTTGAACCACTAGACTGTGCCCAGCTAGCTCGAAAAGCTATCATATAGCTGGAAAAAAAGGCTTTTGGGTTGAACGTGAAATCAATAAAACTTTCAGAAAGAATCGACCCTTTTTTTGCGGGTTTCTTGACGTTTCGCACGTCTACTGCCCCATAACACTGAAAACTCCCTAGAGCCGACAAAAAGCTGCGAGAAGTCCATCTGCAAGTGACAGCACCATTCGTGATGTTAGGCAACGTAACGCCGGATACCTTCGATGTACGCGAGGCAAGAGGGTCGGAAAGATGTTGGCGTGGAGCAATTCGCCGGTTCATTATCTCCAGAGATTCGTGGATTGATGCAATCTGTGGGGTGAAATTTTGGACAATAACTTGTGTGTCTCGCGATTCATTCTTATTTTCGATCCTAGGATTGTCAGCAAGTCATCCCCAGAATTAACATGTTTTGTTACCCCTGCAAGTTCTTGCCTCAAGGAATAGATGATCGATATTTGCTTGTCCAAGACTTCCAGATATTTGCGAATCTCATCGCCTTTCAAGAGCATTCTCACAGCAGTTTCTGCCAGGCCCGTCTTCTTGCCGCTAAACATTGTCGGGTTTGTTTTTTTCATCAACTGCAAAGCGGTCAGCGATATTGACTTACTAGTCTTGAATATTTATTATTTATGGTTGGCCAACCTTCGAGTACTCTTTCAGAGCATCCTTGAACTGCAGTATTTGCTGTTGGAATTGAAGCACTAATTTCTCTTCGGCTTCTGATCGGGTTTTGGTGCTGAAAGCAATTTCGGTAAACCCTGAAACATTTTTAGCATATATGGATGATGAGTCTAGCGGCGGAAACACACTATCAAGTGTATTTGCGTGGCATGAAATAGCATTTTGTATAGCCTGAAGATCTTTCGAGCCATTCTTGATTGAGTCCCGAATTTTTGACAATGTGGTTATACTTTTCAGTGCAAAGTCGCCGAGCTGTACAATTGACGCCGCAAGACCGATAATCGATACCGGATCCATGATTTTCTGACCTGATAACAGAATTTGAATAATTAGATTGGATTTCGTTAAGATGAAGGGAGGCTTTTCATGGGAAATCGAAGAAAGGCGAAGTCATGATCTGACAACTTGGAATTAAGCGCTTGTGTTCTTTCCCCTCTTCAACCCCCTGAATACGAGTCTTGTGTAAAGCAAAACTCAACTACCCGTCTACTCTTCTTCAGCCTTGTCAAGGGCGAATCCAATCCAGTCATTTTACAATTGGTGTTCACACAGCTTCCATGCAGTGACCGCGTACCCAAAGCACAACATCTGGGTTGTGGCCAATCTAACCAAGGAGGTTACTGATGAGATTCTAGCAAAAGAACTTGACTCCGGAGACCAAGGTCAATGACATTGCAACTTGAGAAATGAAAGCGAGAAAGCAAACTTCTTTGCAAAGTTAATGATGCATCCCAGCGACAGAGAACAGGCGTTACAAATTAGTAATACCGTCTGTTAGAGAATTGGCCAACCGATGGCCGCGCAATTGATCAGTAAGTACCCGCGACTTACACAACCAAAGCTCCGCCTCATGAAAATGTACTTAAACTTCTCGGTTACACTTATAAGCTTCGAGAGTCAAGCTGCACTTTCTTTGAAAATCTCGCCGCCGATTTACTCAGATCACTGTTCCAGGCTATCAGGAAGTTGTCATCACCTGACAGTCATTTCCTGGGAATGAATTTGGGACTTGAAGTTCTATGCAACTGTAGAAGTTATTGCGGACTCCATTTTCCCCTGCCACTTATAAACATGAGCTGCCACATCCAGTCGGGAAAACACCGTAGATCACGCCGAAGGACAAAAACGCATTGGTCACATGAATGGAATGCCTTTCAATAGACTCATAGAGCCTTTGCATTGAACTTAACGCTCAATAGTGCACATCCAAGGCCCCTGTCACACTAGCACAACATACTCGAGCATAGTACTCAAGACCCCCGCGGCTACTTGACCAATTTCCAACAATTGGTCGCCACTTCAAGTACTCTACAAGTAACTCAAACCCCCCGAAAAATGGCAAAGCCGGATTCAGAAGCCATGTAAGAAGAGCGCAAACAACCCCCCCTGAAGATGTTTTAATGCATTTGTGGAAACATCAGGCAACATGCATGTCGTTGAGTGCACAACATGTTCAACTGAGCGGATAGGTACTACTCAGTAATGCTTTTCGATGCTCCAGACGTAACAGAGTCATTGATGTAGACAGATCTTGAACTTCATGATTTAATAAAAGGGGAAATGGAACTTTCTGCAGGACCGCGAAGAGTCATTGACATCTACGTGTGCTTATGAATATGAGCACAATAAACTGATTTTTCCCAATTCAAGGAGAGAGAATGATGCGCTCAGATGAATCGAGTAGAATTTACATAAAAGATCCGCTAGACCCAGTGATAAAGCAAGACCAACCGACCAAAAACGGCTCCGCAGAAGCAAACACCACATTAAGTCATCACCCCATCGCAAAGCTAAACTTAAATCCATAAGGGTATCTAAAGATCATCGCCAACATCAAAAGAAGAAACCATGGCCAAGGATACGTTGAATCCCGCTTCCAACTCTAACAAATGAAATCGTGGCTGAAGCACGCAATTCCTGCACTTATCACCACTAACATGAACCAATAAAATATATCGATGCGAGACGATCGTTGTTGATGGGGAACTTTGGTGGGAGAGTATATAATGGGTGGGTTCCCATGTAATTTGTTTGTGGAGATTTCGAGTGTGAGTTTTCGATATATCGATTGTGTTTTTGGTGAAGGGTGTTGGTGGTACGACGCCAGATGTATTACGACGAAGGCAACATCGCTCCGAAGATGAGTTTGAATCGACTTCTCGCGGCTTTATGGGAATCGGAGTCGATGTAATACGATCCAGCCCGAACGTGCAATCTGGAAAGCTCGAAATTTCGGTACTTCAGGTTGTCTTCAAATTCTCGATCGCCATGAGCCCCTCATCACCAAAACAACCCCTCACCACAAACCTCACTATCACCACAATCTCTCCTGAACGCACCACCTCCTCCCACGATCAAACCCATTAAACGATTTACATCCGACTAGCCCACGGACTCATATTAACCTCCTTCTTCCTCCTCTCCGCCTCCCTGAGCTCCCTCTCCCGCTCCTTCTCCCTCTTCCTCTCCAATTTCTCCTCATCCCTCCTCGATTTCTCCAGAAACTTCTCAAAATCATCCATCTCCTTGCCCGATTTCCTCGTCGACATCGCCGTCACGATTTCCGACGGCTGTTTCTGGTCGTGGGATGCGTGCGTGTGTTGCGAGTCTGCGGAGGTGACGCGCAGAGACTCTTGTTGGGTGGTGCTTTTTGAGGATGATTTGGAGCGGAGCGCTTTGAAGAGCATGGTGTGATGTAAGTGCTGTTTTCCTTTGTGAGTTGGGATTTTTTGGCGCTCTGGCAATATTTTGTGTGTGTGTGGTGCTTTGGGATTTGGTTTTCTTTGATGCGACGACAATGATTGATTTCGCGCAATGGGGAATTGAAATCACGATTTTTTCTTATCGTGAATCATTCATGCATTGGACAAAATTGGTTTCAAGTTCTATTTAGCACTTGTTTCCTCGAATTTGTTTTTGTGTCAATAATTTCTCTCTTTTGTCCACAAATGGCTTGGAAGTCCGGCCACAGATGGCGATAAAAAGCTGCTTTGTCTTATCCCTCCGCTACCAAATAAGTGTTCTGGTATGGTACGATGTATGCAGATCCAAGATTGAGGCTGAAGTTCCCAAATATTCACGGAGCTAAGGTTGGAAGAAGCTTTGGAAGGATGCCAGAAGGGTGCTGGTCTCTCTTATATTTGCTGGCGGCTTTGATCCATCGAATGACCACATCCACAGTGTGGAAGGCGTTGCTAGCGGTGTGGATGCCCGTCAACGATCGAGTCTAAATATTGGGTCGAGTGGCCAGAGGTGGGTGGGCTAGATGCCAAAGACTGCGAAGCCAGAGGAGGGTATGACAATTAGGTTGGCCGGTTTCATTCACAATTGGTGGGCTTGATGGATGCCACTTAATATAAGACCACTTTTTGCAGCTTTGCAGGATTCAAAGTGCTCGTGGAGATATCGCAGCGTTTTGGTTGGGGATGACTGCAATTAACGACGTTGGTGGCGACAGGGATAATGAAGAAAAGTTGAAGAATTGATAAGAGAGGCAAATGCGAAATCCGAGGAGACATTTTGAAGTAACATATGATATATTCGAAGTTTTCAAATACCACTAAGCATTTATATGTTTCACAATTACATATGTTAGTACACGCAGGTATTGCAGTGTGTAACCTCGCAACTGTTGGTGGCGCTGGGGATCAAACTTGCACGTGACATCTCGCTGTGTAGCATGTGACGTGCGGGTTGGAAGCTCGCCAATTTTACCGGGACACAAGGGGCGAAAAAAAGCAAGTTCGGACTCTCCCGGTCAACCAATTGGAGGTCAAAACATACACAAGCATGCCTCAGCTCAGCCATGTCTGGCCCGAACTGGATAGAGATATCCAATCAATATGCACGGCGAGAGCGTGCCGACCCCTGACACCGACCCTCTTGGGATAAAACATCGCTGGCGAAGCCTCCAAGCGAAAAGCAAATATCTATGACAACTCCGAGACATATGAAGAGACGACCGTGGATCGTGTCGTGACCTCGAGTCGACTAGAGGAAACCAACGATGGCCTCCGAGGGCATCATCAATGTCTTGAGCGAGTTTGTCAAGAGGCAGGTGGTGAGTGATCCTGTGTTCCCGACAAGGCGTTATGCGCTGGCACCTACCCTACTCCCGAAGAGAGACAAGTCTGCAGCATCGTGAACTGATGGTTTCTAGAGCGTTAGTGAGGACCCACGAATCGGATCGGGTCGAAATGGAGCCAATTCTACTTCAGCCCTAAAGGTTGGAGTTAGTCCGACGAATTCGGCTTCTTTTTCGACGTTGTTCATGACCTTTTTGCCTGTCTCGATTTATGCGCTTATTTGTATTATCATTTTTGTTGTATTACGTCGCAAGTATCCTCGAGTGTATTCTCCACGGACCTTCTTAGGCAGTTTAGATATCCAGTAAGTAGAAGCCAATAATACCACAATGCATTATACGAGAGAACGTGAGCTGATTGTATAGTGACCGCTCCCCAGAAATACCAAATGGATGGTTCAATTGGATCAAGCCATTTTATCAAACACCTGATACAGTAGTCCTAAATCACTCCTCCCTCGATGGATTCCTCTTTCTTCGCTATCTCAAGGTCTTATGTGTGATATGTACGGTTGGTGTAGTCATCACATGGCCGATCTTACTGCCATATCATGCTTATGGAGGTGGATCCAATAAAGAACTGGACAAGCTCACATTTGGAAACATCACCACCCCAAGTAAACTCTACATGCATGCAATTTTGGCATGGATATATTTTGGTCAGTTTTTCGAATGCATACATAAGTCTCGACTGATGGAAACAGGATTCATTCTCTACATGATATCTCGAGAAAGTGTCTACTTTATCAGCCTTCGCCAAGCTTATATCGTGTCTCCCCTCTACGCAGAACGGTTATCTTCAAGGACAGTTCTGTTCACATGCGTGCCTCAGAATATTCTAGATACTAGGAAACTACGGAGAGTGTTCGGAGATAGCGTAAAAAACATTTGGATACCTCAGGATACTGAAGATCTCGATCAACTTGTAAGAGAACGAGAGCAAACCGCAGCACGCTTAGAGAAAGCGGAAATCGTGTTAATCAGAAAAGCAAATGAAGTGTACAGGAAAGCAATTGCAAATGGCTACCGGCCTAGTGGAATCCAGCAGGGAGTGCAATCTCCAACAACTGAGGACTTCAAGAAGCTGGAGATTAACGTCACAGAAAATGAGAACGATTTTCAAGGGAAAGACTCTTTCTCGTCTCCACCACTGTCTCCGTTGAATTCAGACTCACCTGGGGTACCAGGCTCGATTCAGGATTCCATCAAGACAGATGGAGCTCCGATTCTTCCGTCTGTAACTGGCGGTAACAATCCATCTTTCGATCTTAATGGTTCCATCGCTGCGCAATGGATACCTTACAGTGAGCGACCCGTTCACCGACCGATCGCAAATTACGGACGAAGAGTCGACACAATTAAATGGACCCGCAATCGCCTGAAGAAGTTGGCTCCAGAGATTGCAAAGCTAAGAAGTCGATATCGCAAGGGGAAAGGGCCGCTGATACCAGCGGTTTTCATCGAATTCCACACCCAAGTCGATGCGCAAAGTGCATACCAGACCCTTGCTCATCATCGAGCAAACCATATGAGACCTGAGATTACGGGAATTCGACCCGAAGAAATCAATTGGGATGCGCTTAGCATGCCATGGTGGGAGAGGATTGTACGAAGATTTTTGATCCAAGCTTTCGTCGCTGTTATGGTCGTGTTCTTCTCACTCCCCGCTGCAGTTGTGGGGATGATTTCAAACGTCAAATCACTGACTGAATTGCTGAAATTTCTGGCGTGGATCAATAAACTCCCAAGTGTGCTTTTGGGATTAATATCTGGTCTTCTCCCTGCTGTTGCGCTTGCGATGTTGATGGCGGTTGTGCCAATGATTCTTCGAGGTGAGTTGTACCATATTCAGTCATGACTTTTAGCTAACCCAGGCCAGCATGTGCACGTCAAGCAGGGATTGCTACTGAATCCAAGGTTGAGCTATTCGTTCAGAACGCGTACTTCATTTTTCAGATTGTGCAAGTATTCCTCATCACTACACTCACGTCTGCAGCATCAGCTGCAATCAAGGATATCATCAAAGATCCTCTTTCGTCTCGAGAATTGCTATCTAGGAGTCTACCAAAGGCTTCAAACTTTTACATCTCATATTTCATCCTCCAGGGCTTGGCGATGAGTGCGAACAGACTTGTTCACCTGGGCAGCTTGTGGAGGTTGGTTCTGATGCGCGATGTTGGGATCATCCCAAGGCTGAGATCTGCTCGGTATCATCGTCTGCGGAAGATCCATTGGGGAAGCGTGTACCCTGTGTTTACCAATATGGGTGTCATAGGTGAGCTGCATGATCTTTCGAGTGATGTTGCATACTAACAGTATTAGCTATCTCTTACTCTCTCATCGCTCCAATCGTGCTTGGAGTCGCTGCTATCGGGCTCTTCCTCGTTTACCTGAGCTACCGGTGGAATCTGTTCTACGTCTATTCATCAGAACGAGATACTCGTGGCCTGCATTATCCTCGAGCTCTCACTCAGACTTTGACCGGGGTTTATCTTGCTGAAATATGCCTGGTCGGACTTTTTGGTGTTCAAGGTGGTTACGGCCCAATGGTCATCACGTTTGGGTTGCTACTGATGACCACTTTAATTAACATGTCGCTCAACGACGCTCTTGGTCCGCTCATCTTCAATCTTCCTCGAACCGTAGCAGCAGAGGAGGCGTTGAGGTTAGCTGGCAACCACCCAGTCGATGCCTCAAACCTCGCAGACAAAAGCGACGCATTCGAGGACAATGACGCCGAGAACCAACAAGACATTGGCTACGATTCCGACTTCGACCCAGCCGACCCAGCAAACCAAGTAAGCCACGGCACACAACAAACACGAGGCGTCAAAGACGTCGAAGGCGTTGAAGGAGTCATCCAACTATCAACCACCACCGCCTCCGGCTTCCTCCGCAAAAGATACAACGCCTCACCACTCCCCGCCTTCATCGATTCCATCGACTTCTGGACCCACTGGATCTCGCCCGACCCAACCATAAAGCCCAACTTCGTCCTTAAGTTCCTGCACCCAGAGATCTTCTCCGACTACCACATCCTGCGCCAGCAAATCCCGGCTGATATCCCGGAATTCCACTACGAGGAATCGGTACTGAAAGACGCGTTTTGTCCGCCGAGTATGCGGAAGAGGTCGCCGCGGTTGTGGATCCCGAGGGATGAGGCGGGGATTAGTAGACAGGAGGTTGCGCATTGTGGGAAGGTGATTGAGATTACGGATTGTGATGCTAGACTTGATGAGAAGGGGATGGTGGAGGTTGATGTTGAGGGAGAGGTTTCGGGGTGGGTTAGGAGGGATTGGGAGGGGATTAAGTTTTAGATATGGGATTATGGAGTGTGTTTTGAGCGTTGGAGTTGGAATAGTGGGGTAATGGGATGGTGTTTTAATTACAGCTCGCAAAATTTATTGGTTATTTGGCTAAACCACTTAGCTTTTAAGCAAGGGTCTTTCGTTTCTCCACATCAAGGAAACAAAACCCAGTTGCAAATATTACATGGACTTAAATTTATTTCTCCTTGGATTGCGAGACCTCATATTTTTCTAACCATTTACAAGCAATGGATGACTCTTATATCCCATGTATATTTCCTAAAACAATCCTGCAAACAAAAAGTCACCGCCCAGAACAAATGAAGAAAGCGCATAGTCAACATCCCAAAACACCACAACACCACAGCACTTTTCAAACCTTCATCCAATACCCAATACACCTACCTAGGTACCTATCCATCCAAACACCTTCCAAAACAATCAACTCATAGCATAAACCCCACCCCCCAGCACATCCCAACACGGCACCCCCTCCTCCCCCATCCACCCAACCTCATCCCGCTCCCTCGTCCCCATCCGCCTAGCAAACTCCCCAATCTCCTCCTCCAACTCCCTCCACCGCACCTCCCGTCCACTAACACCACTCTTCCCCGTCACCACGCCCCGTGATCTACACCTCTCGAAAGCTTCACCCACCCAGGCTTCGCTATCAAACCCCTTCTCTCCCTCAATCTCGACTTCAGCGAGAATCTCCTCGAGCGCGAGAACATCAAGCACCTTCCCCACTGTAACCAAACAGTGCAAACCAGCCGCCATCTCCAAATCAGGAATCTCACCACGCTCAAACACCCATTGCACCTCTTTCACCTCCTTCCCACGCCTCACATCCCATCCCCTTCCCGCCCCCTTCTCTCGTTTCTCAACGCTGAATTTCACCAACGGCGTCGGATTCGCCGGATCTCCCCTTGTAGAAACAGGCGGGGAACTAGGTTTCGGCGTAAGCAGAAATGTGTAGTGATATTTCCCTTTTTGTGGGAGCGTGAAGAGTGCGATTGTGAGACGAGGTTTTTTGCGGGGTGTGCGGGGGGAGAAACAGGACATTTCTTGGCTGGCGAGTGTTGGTTTTGGGTTTGGATGCTGGAGGAGTATATTTGGGTGGGTCTTGGACGGGAGCTAGGTTGGAATGGGGATGGTGGGTTGTGCGAGGAGGTTGAGGATGGTCAGGTGATTTGTTTCATGGTTTGAAATGGCTGAAAGGGGGAAAGGGATCCGGGGGTGCTTATCGGGGTAAACGATAGGGCAGCAATGATTGGCCATTTGGGCCTCGACGGGGGTGGTTTGTTTGATTGATGTGATTTTTGGTGTTACATTATTTGTGATATGAATTTATTCAATTGTAGAAAGAGTGTAATTAATACCATTGAATGACTCCATGAAAAAATGGAAAATGAAAACAACCGGCAGGTTATTTTTGATATTGCAATTGAAGTGTTGAAAATGCTCGCCTATTCGGACTACAAACACATCTCTTGCATCTCCATACCGTAAGGCTACCCAATCTCTCACCAGATAACAACCCGCATCCCCAATTCATCGAATCCCATCTTCGACCCTACCATACAACTGCATCAATAACTCAAACCACTGCATCAATAAACCCAAAGCAGCAATCCCATCCCAGACGCAATGGCGGGGTCGCTGCTAGAGTGGGGCACAAGGGAAAGCTTCGCTCTTGCTGACACCCGGATGTTATCATAAGAAGCTGGGTTGCTCTGGGTTTTGAGTCTGAATTCAGTGCTTGTATTACAATTCAATTGTTTGTAAAAGATAGAAGATAAAAGGTATGTCACTCATCTCCTCCCAAATAGAGACGATAAGTTGCAAAGTAATCCAATCTAACAATGGGTTCCCTCCTCAGCAAAACCAAATCCCCCAAACCTACCACCACACCCGAATCCAAACCCTCCAACATGTCCTTCACACACTTCTCCAACGCGCAATCCTCCTTCAAACCCCCTCTCATCGCCAACGAAAACGCCTATCTCGGCGACATCGCGACGTCCGAGCCCAACGACCCAACCTCGCCCATCTCCGCGGGTTTCTATAGATTGGAGAAGGGCACGCCGCTCGTGTATGAGTATACGTACCATGAGATGAAGATTATCGTGGATGGCGAGTTTGATATTAGTGATGAAAGTGGGCAGAAGGTGCATGCTGTTAAGGGGGATGTGTTTTATTGTGAGTAATGGACAGAAAGGGGAGGGGAAAAGGGAGAGGGCAGGGACAAAGAGAGGGGAAAGGTGATGGGGATGATTGCTAATAGGCGGCAGTTCCTAAGGGAAGTAAGATCACTTTTACGACTGAGACCTTTGGATTGGGGTTTTTTGTTGGGCAGAGAAAGGTTTGTTTTCTCAAATGAAGTTGAGTAGTGGACGCTAATTTGTTTATAGGAGGGAGCTGCGTGATTAGTGAGCGTGAAGAGTAATGCACAGGATGATTAGGAGTGGTATATAATGAATCAAAATTTTGACCAAAGATCTATTTCTTACCAGTTATGCTCGTGCTCAGAGGGCTGTGTGTCGACATCAGATTGTCATATCTAAAAACAACAATACTAATGGTAGAGTTTCTTCTAAAATAAAAAGCCTCCCGTGGGTATGTTCTTAATTCCTTCACTATTTTGTTGTGCATTAACTTTGATCCCACCAATGGCGTTCGTTTTGAAGCTTCATACCCGTTTTTTCACTTCGAAGCTCCAAAGATATCGGTCTTCCGAAATTCGAAGAGGATATCCTCGTCGGCTAACGGTCCGTTCATTCATTATTCAATGTATGAGCTGTGTATGAGCTGTAATCTCCGCTACTCCTTTTGTTGCTTCTTGCACCGAGATCATCATCTGGCTGAATGAAACGAAGTACCAGCAATCAACTTGAAAATATCTCTATACCATCAAATTCTGCATCTTTTAACTTGTTTCCACTCTATCGTTACTCATCTAAACTAAGATAGCATACGTTTCCTTCATTACCAATGCGTTTCGCCAAACGAATGTCGAGGTCATTAACATGAACGTGAATGTAGCAAGAAGCTCTTTAGATTTAATCCTAATCACAAACTTCCTACAAAGGAAAGTTCTAAGGATGTAGAGTTCTTTAACAAGTCTAGAAAAGAGGGCAGAGGATTATTTCAATAAGTCAGTGGCTCGAAAACCCAATAACAGAGCACATGTTATATCCAACTTTTGAATCGATAACACCCCACTCTGCTTATCACTCACCACCTAGACCACCAAAACCGACCACCAAAACCACGGCCCAGCTCTCAACCTCAGAAACAAAGGCACAGATGCTTCACACATTCACATCGCATTAAGTATCCTACAAACCCACAAAATAACTCAAGACCAAACGAACAAAAAATACGCCCCCGGAATTCCACACATCAACTATAAGTCTAGAAGGTACAAGAGGTTCTAGACCCCGGGGAATCCCCATCTCACGCACGGCAGTCCCCCTCGAAAACCTTCTCAATGTGAAAGACCCATACATCAAATAGCCAATTAGCAGACATGATTACCTAAAGCCAGCTGCCAACGTAGAAAGGATGAAATGCAGAATACCCTGGTAGATATCTCTTTCTGGAAATACCGAAATGTTCGAGCATAAACCTTCTCAATGGAAAAGAAAACGTGCTCACAGAATTTCCTGGACGGGAGGCTTGGCGTATATATAAACGACCAACCAGCATACAACGCCTCGATTCTCATCCACATTACCAGCACGTATGAACGCTCAGGGCGAGGATCAAGACTCTTACCACAATTCCCAGATGATACACGAGAAGCTACGTCCCCCACGCTTCGTATTCACATATAAACCATCCCAATTCCTACGACAACCCTCCCAGAATACCGATCCCATCTCGTCAACATCAGATAGATATTCAATCAATTTCCATCCGACACCCTGGATACATATCCACAGATCTATAAAACCGGAATCCACAACCACGGTCTGATTATATGAAACGGCATAGCACCATCCTCAAATCACGAATCTCTCATCTCCCATCCTCGTCTGCATTAAAATCTACAGATCGTGGGCGTAGCAAGGGGTTCTGAGCCGTTTAATAAGCATCCGTGGTGTAGGAGTCGGTGATTTGGAAATATTTCACGCCCGAGACTCAACTCATGGTTTCCCAGGTTTCACCATCAGCGAACGAGATATTCGTCTGTTTGGAGGGGTTTCAGTGACTAACCACGAGCGGAGTCGGCGTTACTGCTTAGAGTGCTCTTCAACTCGTCTATGGCCAAGTCCAATCATCAATCGCGCCCGACTGTTTCAGATACTGCTTTTATTCACAAAAGATAAAAAGCCAATCAAACCATTGTTCAATCGAGATATTCATTCAAGCCTATATACTCAAGATTCAAGATATACCCACCCAACTAGCTACATAATACAAATCATCCCCTTCATATCTTCGGCCCTCCACCCCCACAACACCGAATATCCAGACTGAATATCATCATTTCGACAAGACAAATTTCAAAGGGTATACATACACGCACATCCCGAACGCCACGCTGAACCCAGAAATACACAAACAATCTATAACAAGACACAAAGAAAACACCCTGACACAAAACCAAGGACATCCGAATAACGATGGGTTTATTCAAAAGATCAAAACCAACCCCAGATGCCGATGTCGCCAGAAGCGGCGCAAACATATCCGAAAACGCGGCGGGAATGAATCGAGATGCAAATGCATCGACATCGAATCTCTCCACCACTTCCACGCTGGTCCCAGGGAGAGAAGAGAATCCGAGCCAAAGAACCTTGGGATCGCACCAGCCGTCGCGCGGTGAACATTGGCCAGCAAATCCGTGGAGGGGTGGATTTGGGCCCAGTGCAAATGACGTGGAGCGGAGGAGGCAGCTAGATGAAGACCTGAGAAGGAAGAGGCGTTCAGACAAACGGCCTAGTTTTTATGAGAGGTCGATGGATAAGGAGCTGAAGGACGTAGGGGTGGCTGCATTTTTCTGTAGCAACAGGTTGCCAGGTATCTGTTGCAGTGAGTGTGAGAGAGCGAAGGAGATGGAGCTGAAAGCACTAGGGCCGGCCGCATTTTTGAAAAGGGACGGATTGCCAGAGGTGTGTAGCACGTGTGAGAGGGCGAAGGAGAGGGAGCAGAAAGCACTGAGTGAGCTGAAGGAACTGGGGCCGGCCGAATTTTTGAAAAGGAACGGGTTGCCGGATATGTGTAGTGCGTGTGAGAGAGCAAAGGAGAGGCAGCTGAAAGAACTGGGACCGGGTGAATTTTTGAAAAGGAATGGGTTCCCCAATCATCCGAGCAGTACTTGAGCATGTTAGCTCCTTGACGGGATAAAAATGCTGGAAAGCGAGCTGTCTGTCGCCCACTAGAAGTATTAGAATCAAGAGATGAATAGACTTACTTTCCCAGTCCCAATCCTTCATCACGCCCACCCAATGCATTCGTCCTCTGACTGTCACCTCCGGATCCATATTCTCAGTAACCGGCTCTTGTTCTTGTCGTCGTTTCTGTGGCGCTGATATACTACTGATGCTCTCACGTCCAGACCTTGGCTTCTTAGCTACTGTGCCACTCGTGACATTCGCATTGAGCATATCAGAGAACGAAAAGACTTCATCCATGGCCAGTTCCTCCTCAAACTTCCGTTTACTGCTCTCGGAATGAATCATTCCACCATGAGTTGGTCGTCTTCGATTCTCTCGTTCGGCTTGTGCAATTTCTGCTGCATCCCGTCGTGACCAGACTTCCTGCATCACTTCCCAACATCGGTCGACATTTCCAATCCACATCCGTGATGCCATACTCAGCCAACGATCCTCCACCCACTGACGGTCTTCTGCATCATATGCTTCGCAGCCGGCAGCGAGTAGGGGATATATTTGAACAATCACCAGACGACTGCTTAGTGGAACAGTTGCAAGATATATCAGGACTTTCTTTGCTAATTGTGCAGAAGTCAAAGATGGGATTTCAGGTACGGCCTGATGTAGATAGAGCAGAGTTGCATATCGGTATGCCTCTGCAGTCTGTAAAGCGTGTTGAATCTCGCTCGTAGGGTCTTCTGGTCTTTCGAAAGCAGACCCGGGAGGTGGTGACCATTGTTCAATCAATTCCTTGAGCTCGATAGCCTGGCTGATGACTTGGATCGAATTCGATTCCACAAGTCTCACTCTCCTGCACAGATTCGCCACCCTTCCAATCAGCGGAAACAAGGTAGACCCACAGCCCATCAAAGGATCAATCTCGTTGTTGTTGGGAAATGAAGGCATGTTTAGAGGGGTATAATGATCAAAATCAGTACCTTCATCATCAACAGAGGTCAAACGAGCAATGACATCCATATATATCCAGGTGTTGCAAAGAAATCGTAGTCGTGATAAGTCGTCTCCCATCAGAGGTTTCTTCTGGTGAGATACGATTGCCTGATTGACGAGAATCTTTGCGCCTCTCAAATGCTCAATGCCAGTGCTAATGTGCTGATCCCAGGACTCTGAGAAAGCAAGCACCAAAGTCGTCGCCAAAGCGGTATCTGTCCGCATCTTCTCGATTCCAGTCGCCAAAGAACGGATACTACGCCGCATATGCTCCATGCCATCAACTCTCAAGGCTGGCTTTTCTTTCGAGGTGTGAAAGGCTGTCATGGATGCAATTGCATGGTACAAAGCTGGCGAATCTCTTGCCAGCGGCCATACCAAAGTTCTCCACGGATTCTCTGTCGGGCCATCTTTGACCGATAAGATACCGCAAGTTTGTTTGTCGAACCTGAGCATTAGCATTTCGGGACTTCCAGCTTGCACCTCTGGCTGTCTGTAGATTTTGTTGAAGGGGTCGTCACCCATGAAACCTTGCGGCGTTGCTGACCTAGAAAGAAACCGGACTGGACTTCTTAACATCCACGAATCCATATCCGGCATATCTTCTCGAACAATTTCCTCTACTTCATCATCCACCATAGATGCTTGACTGGGCTCTGTTTGTGACATGAACTGTGTATCCATGGGCGACATAGATAAAGAAGGCGTCGAGAGGCCCAGTGGAGGAATCGATACACTTCCTGGCCTGGCGTTAAGCTCGGAGCCAGGTAATAATAAATCCATCAAGCTCGGAGATTGCCCAGAGAAAGATGGTCTAGTAGCCGAGTTGGGCGGTACTGACTGCGTATCATCAAACAAGCTGCTCAAGCTCTTGGTGACCGCATCTGCCTCAAATCTAGGCCTGGGTAATTCCCGCATATATGGGGGCGTGCTCATGTCAAAGAATGGAGGATGATCGAAACTGAGATCTGGCAGAGGAGAGAAGTTACGAGGAGTAGATGCCGCAGCGCTGAAGAAGGTGTTTTCCATGGGAACATCCGTTTCGACTGTAAGTTCTGCCTCCAGTGGTGAAGACGTTTCCGAAGTTGGGCTTCCCTGTGAGGCAGTGGGTATAGGTGCATTCTCCTGACTGATGTCAATCGTATCTACCACACATTATTATCTGCAACTCTGCGAAGACCAATACACGTACTGTTTTTGGGCTTAGCTGCGGGTGCCACCTTAGTAGCAAAAGTTGTCTCCTCGAATGGCCTCCATTTGAAATCCTTCTTGTATCCTCCACACGGGACGTTCCTCTTATGGCATTGCTGACATGTTGGTTTCGTTTCGTCGCATTTTAAACGTTTGGCTTTGCAAGTTACACATCCTGTGAAGTTATCAAATTAGCATTTGGCTTATCAGACCCAAGATAAGGGGCTCCCCATTTCTTTCAACATACCATTGCGGCTTTTGGATTGCTTGGGTTTGACAATACCCGTCTTCTTCTTGGTCGTACTGGCAGATGCTTTGGCAGGCGGTGGTTTGCGTTTGGGAACGGGCGGTGGTTCTGGCGCAGGTTTGATGATGGGGGATGTCAGGAAGGCGGTTGGCGATGGAATCGTTATGGTTTCCATCGTGAGAGCTTCTTGTATGGAAACATGGACGATTCGAACCTTGGGTATAACAACAACACGCAGTCTTGCCGGCACCGATTATTGAAGCTGGTGATGAGTTGTCGGCGTGACATTAGAAAAGTGAGGTTGACGAGGGGAAAGTGTTCCCATGTGTACGAGAGAGTTTGGAAGGCTGAAGGCATGATTGGCGGGTGATAGGCTGGCCATCCGCCCCTGTCACCTCGCCTACAACCGCCTGTGAAGCAATCTGTGGAGAAGGCGGGCAGCGATGATTAGCGACTCAGACCCCGGGATATCTGCCGCTACACCAGCTCGCACGCCCAACCGATGCCCAGCTGGACACCAAAAACACCACCACGGTCCAGATGGGATGCAGTCCCACCAGCTCGCCGTTATCATCGACAACTCCTCGCAGGGGTAGAATGTTCATCGAGTCTTTCTAGACGTTTGCTGCGTTTTCCCAGATATCGTGAGCCTCAACTATGTCATATCTGCCTCGTTCGCTTTCTCGTCTACGCACTCGAGTTGAGTGCACTTCTTTTCGTCCTCCACACCTTTTCACCATGCTGAGAATGCCCGTGATGAAATTACGAAATCTGTGTGTAGGCCTTTCATAGCCGTCCGTCGCCGGATGTTGGTGGGAGCAATGATTCGTGGAGGATGGCGGGGACTGATAACGATGGCAATTCGTGGTTGATCTACTGTATTTACGGAGGGAAATCGGCTCTTTCATGCACAGTGAGGCATGACATGGCAGCAGAGATCCCGGAGTGATGTGGAAGCTCGGCGAGAAGATTAGAGAGGAGGAGTATCATATGATCTGGTGAGATGGATGGCACAAGGTGTTGTGATATGTTTGTTTCGAGGACAAACAAGAGAATGAGTTGAAGATGTGAAAATAAGGTATGTCTGACATACAGTTGGTAATGTGATATCCAACCCGAGAGGAAGGAATATATCAAGGTGCTTACACCTTACACCTATAATGAGCCGCACATGTTGTATTCTTGCCGATTCTCCGCTGCTCTCGCTTGTGGGACGTCCAATGTCAAAGGGGAGAATGTTAGTATCACGTGCGGTTGCTTTTGCCAAAGTGCTATCCGTTTCTCTGAGGTTTAATTTTTGCTACCAACAATCCAGTTAGCAGGGAAATCTAACCCGGAGCAACCACTACCTGAGACCTTAAGTTCAAATAGGTGAAGCTGGCGTGATTATCACGTGTGCTGCCAAAGCAACTCAGAAAACTAGTACTCGTACAGGATATACCTTGAGAAAACATTCATCCGTACCGTCCCACCACTTCAAACGTCTAAATTCAACGGCTCACGTCATATGGTCAGAGATTTAACTAAATTGAAGGTTCTTCAAAAGCTCTACCCGGTTTTCAGATCATTTACACAAATACCTGGATCATCCCGAACCACCTACTTAACATAAGGCGTCCCGTTGTTCCAAGTTGCTTCCACGAAATCAGAAAATGCAAGACGATCTGCAGTAACTTCCCAGGACTTACACAAGTACTACAGTACTACAGTACTCTAAGTTACAGGTTCTGTTCTCCTTGCGAGCTGCAAATAAACCACGAAAACCTGGCGTGATGGCAGCTGTTATCGCCACTACTGCAGCAAAAGTGCCGACACGAGATCTCAAATCCTTCCGGCTTGACCAACTTCCAGTCATGGTGATACTGGTACCTCAAACCCATCCCGCGTCATCTCCTCCAGCATATATCCCATCCCACGGCTGAGTACTATTACTTCAGATCATCGTGATACAGTTCCAAGGCCTTTCGGAGCCAGCTCCTTCGTTATCGCAACTTACGACAATCGCAGGCTGGGAATACACGCGAAGTGGGCATGGAGTGGGGTGACGAGTATAGTTTTCAACTCTAAACTAGCCACATCAATTGTTGGGAACATGCGAAGTACAATTAGGTCTTCCGAGTTATGCGACTCTCGGTCAAACTAAGCCAGCCTTTCGATATCTTGCTGTTGTCGGACCCAGCCTTTTCTTTGCCATCATGCACCTAGTCCACGCAATCGTATACTCCGCCCTGAGAATCCCCTCTTCCCAAACCTCGATGAGAATCAAGACGCTCGATTATTGGATATAAAATCAAGATCACCAGCCACAGATGTAGATTAATTCAACACCGCCACAGCTGCTAATTCATCCGCTAATGATTCAAAAACCTGAAAATGGATCTGTCGCCGTAAAGAGCTGGTAGTCGATCATCCTAAGCGGCATTTATCTCCGCTGCTAATGGCCAAAGCTACCTGGTTGCCCCGTTCCAGCAGGCCAGCCCAGCAGACCCCTCCATTGCCTTGTTTACTTGTCGACATTGTGCCAATGAGCAACGACGAGCTGAAACCAAGGCAATGCGAGTCAAGCCAAAGGAGCCAGAATTGTATGCGCCATGTACGAAAATGCAACGAGGGAGACTAACACCTGACTATGTCTGTTGGGGTAGTATGCAGGAGAACAAGTTCTGAGCTCGGTGGTCATTGTCCTCCTCTTCAAGACAAAAACCCTTCAATATATTGTTTAGGAGATTTGCTTCTGCCTTCAATTTTATTTCGAGCCCGGTGCGTACAGAAAACGGAAACGAAGAGTCCTCGGCTCATCTACCGCCAGCAGCCCTGTCCGTCCCCTTCGAGTCGCGTTCACAAACACGACTGTGAAACGCAAGCCTCGCGCTCAACCACCCACCGCTGTCTCTTCTGCTGCTGTTGCTTCGTCTCCAGAAAAAGTCGATCTTGTCGTCAGAAAATAACTTGATTTTCTACATAATACTCCGCAATCCCTGAACGACAAGGTCCGCTCGTCCAATCTCGCCATCATTTACTAGGATTCACCCAAGTCGACATCTTCCACCCCAGCTGTTCGCGCCTCAACTCTGTTCCGTCGCAACATCGCATTTCAATCTCCCATCCGCCCTCTTCATCTTGTCCATTACTTACTCCAAATACGATCTGACAGCTTACGGCAATTGACGGTGTTGTGGAGGAAAAATGGAAGGGAGTGCAGAAATATAACCAACAATTCGAGGACACAACATGGGGAACGAACAATCCTCACCGAACCCTCGACGAGGCCAGAATAAACTGTCGAAGCCGAGAACCAATTCTTCAGGAAATGCCCTGAATACCGGCACTCCCAATTCAACGCCCGGTCGAGACAACTCTCAGTCCCACGATTCATCAAGGAAATCTAGGTACAGCCTCTTCACGAATGACAGCCACGGAGAATATAGCGAAGATGGCAAGGAGAAGCGCCCCAAGCGGATGAGCATCTTCAGATCGAAGAGCTCGCAGGCGAGGAGCCGCGCTGCATTGGATGTGACTCCTGAAATAATGGTAGAAAGCGCGGAACCAGATCCAGTGGAAACACCGGTTCGCAGATATTCAGTTGTGAACCATAACAGCCCAGCACAGTCAACGCCTGATCTTAGTATGCAGAGGTATGTTAATTCGCCCACATTGGAGTCAACACTAATGCTACTCCGCAGACCTCGATACCATGCTCGAGCCTCCCTCCAACACCTCCCCATTTCAAGCCAACAATCTCGACTGTCATTGGTGGCAGAACAACAATCTCCCCCACCGGAGAAGGTCGAGATTATAAGAAACGGTTCATTTTACAATAGGGAAATAGATTCGCAGGTCGTAAACCCTCCGCTATCGAGTAGAACGAATTCAGACACCACGCTATATGGTCCGACACGACGGAGATCGTTATTACAGCATGGGGTGGTCACAAGAAAAGAATTTGGCTCCAATGACCCTCGAAAATCATTACCTTCACAAGTGAAAAACATTGAAGACCTTCAGGCTTATTATTATGATCCTTCCCGGTCGACTTCCTCTCCTCTTGCGAATCTTGCAGCAATAGGCCAATCAATACCCGCGAGTTCTCCCGGCCAGCGAGTCCAGACGCCCAATGATATGGATTATGGGCATATTGGGGTATATAAGCTAGGATCTCTAAGAATCACGAATGGAACTGCCAGTCCTACACCCAGCGATGGGAGACCTGCCACTGCTACAGCTGAGGAAGATTATCTGACGATGGGTGGACGACAGAAAGAGTCCAACCACCGCCACGGGCTCAGCCAGAGGAGCAATACACTGGTTCCCGCTGACACGACCAAGCCCGCCTGGGTTGTGCACGAGGAATCTCCTTTGCGACAGTCTCAAAAACCAGAACAAAGATCATTGTCCATCAGCACAACCCGGGCCGAGCTGGATCCGTCTCTGGCTCTGTTTGATTTCAGCACGAATCACGTTAATCACTCACCAAGCAGATCTCTCGAGTTTGCAAAGCAATACATGGAAGAACTCCCGCTCAGTCCATTTTCTTTCGATAATTCATCTCCGTCACCATTGACCCCAGGATTTCAAGCTACGAGCAAGCACACGGCTGTGGAGGACGATCTGTTTGAAGCAGAACCTGATAGTCCTCGAAATGACTTATCTCCTTCTGCACCTCACTCCTTTGACTCTGGTTACGGCACTTCCGCCAGTCCTGTGGTCATCAGAGGTCCTCGAGAATATATTCCAAAACCGTTGGCGAAAGCGGACAGTGGCTACAGTTCAATTGCTTCTCTGAAATCTTTCAAGAAAGACGCTGCTCCCGCAGTACCGGCGAAGGACTTGCAAATCACACCAAACAAGGAAATTTCCCGGCTCAGGTCCAGCATCCACTCCACGTCTTCTAGCCCGATCAGCAAGTCACCCAGTGTGACACAGGATTTTGTGGAGTTGCCAGCTCTAGAAGTCATGCTACCATTTTCCATGGACGGTCCACCGGTTCCTGCCAAGATTCCAATTTTGAAAGGCAATCTGCTGCAAGCGCAAGCTCCTGTTGTGCCACCTAAGATTCTTGAGCGAGATGTTGCGTCTGAATTGAAAGTGCACAAGCGGCAGCAGAGTTTACCCAATACATCAGTTGTGGCTGTTGAACAGGACAATTTTACTAAGACGAGTGGAAACAAAATGCAGAAACGCCCCAAGTCAGTTCAGCCAGCTGTTACAGCTCCCGTCTATACAGTGCAAGCGTACAGGTCACCAAGCGACGCATTCAGTGTCCCCTCTGTTCCGGCAGAGTTTGATAAAAAGCTTGATCAGCGAGTGAGTGGGTTTCCAGTGGCATCATTCCCAAATACATATTCCACATCGGTTGGGCTACGAAAATCTTCAAGCAAGGAGACGCTGGGTACGATATTTTCCGTTGGTAGCGCTGAGGTACGGGATGAGGTTGAGTTTGCGAGACTTCAGGGCAAGTTGCCTCCTATTCCATCGACCATCCCCGAGAATCCATCCGTAGTTCCTGAACGGAAACCGGCACCCAATCGAAGAGCCACATTTCAGGCTTCTACAAACAATTCGCTTCCTTTCTGGAAATCGTTCGATGCACGAAAGATATCCTCACGATCGAAATCCAGAGACGCACAGCCTATCTCACCACCCAAGACTGTGGAACAGCAGGCAGAAGATTATGAGAATCATGTAACTGCTTTTAATACCGTGGCTTCCTCTCTTGGAAGTTCTCCGTACGATATCGCTACTACCATCAGACCACCAAGCTCCGGCGCTGCATTGCGAGCAAAATCGATGACTTCCCAGTTTGAAGCTGAAGCGGCGGAGAGATTTGCCCGAAGCCGCAGTGTCTCACAGGAATCGGAAATCTCTACTGTTTTGTCATCTCGAAGATCGTATGATTCTATTTCAACTGTGAACGCTATTGGTCCATCTACCCCAACAAGGAATGGTTTCCGAAGAAGCTCTCGAGAACCGCCTCCCAGTGCTCATGCGAATAAGCCAGCGTGGAAAGCAGCTAGCAGAGTGCCAATGAAACCACAGGTATTCGTAGCTCCACAATTGCAAGATTCGTATGACCCCGAATCAAGATCATCGACACCTGCCTCTGGCGAATTGAGGCAGAAGAAGCCTCCGGTCTCTCTTAACAATCAACGAAAGAGTCTGCCAGCCATAAGAAGTTCAAGAAGCAAGACGCAGCTGCCTGATCTTCCCATGTCGCCTACACGGGCACCACCCGCACCACCGACTACCATTCCAACAGGCAATGTAGAGACACTAGCTGAGGTACAAGATCCATGGGCGGCTCACCAGAATTTCTGGTCCCAACGACGGCAGTCCGCTGGGGAAGCGTTGCAGACTCGAAAAAGTTTTGACAATTCCAGGTCCGGAAGTCGAAGACCATCAATGGAGTCGCAGACAGAGACCAAAGCTCAGTACGGTCATGCAATTCAGCGAGCATCCACCACTCAACCCACTCAAAGCTATGGCTATGATGAGCAGTCATGGAATGTCCATGGTTCAAATCAGTACCAGCGACAACCTTGGACCGGCCACTCTACCGGGTCGCATCGTAACTTTTCACCACAATGGGTGCAGAGACAGACTTCCGCTAGTTATGATCATACTTATGAATCTGATGCGGACCACCTCACCAACGGCGCAGCTGACTACGGATATTATTCTCAAGCTGATGATGGATACTATGCCCAGCCAGAACAAAATTCGGTTGCTCACCACAACCTACCTCAACAAATTCACTCTGTCCAGAATTCCACCAACGACATGCTTGTGCTCGATCGCTTCTCTGGTGGTCTCGGATACAATTATGATCCGAACTATGGCCTTGCTGGCAGCGCAGGAACTGCAACCTCTGGCAACCCTTCCAGAGCTCCAAGAAAGGGCGTCGAAGCCTCCCAACTCTATGGAGTCGATCTGAGTGATGTCCCTGTATTCCTACAGCGCGTCAGAGTCGAACAATGAACTATTTATAACATTTAGCGAAACATATATTATCATGTCTGGATGTCACCGTCCTCTTTCTTTTGTTTCCAAGGATCGGATATCCTCAATTCTGCATACGGCATGTTATTTAGCGCGCATATATCTTGGTATCTTGTACATTTACATAGGGGAATTTGGGATGGAGTCTGTCGTGCTGCATTTAGCATATGAAAAGGCAATGATTGTATTTGTACATATTAGAGAATAAGAAATGATACCCTATAGTCGACTTTGTGTCGTACAGTTCACGTGCAGTCGTTTCATGAACCACGAGCTACGGAGTACCGCAATCGTTTTATGGATTGAGATCATTGTATTTGTTTGCCAAGTGGCTCTGATGAAAGTTTGGATGAGGTGTGTTGGCAGCGGTTGGCGGACTGGGCGACGCTTGGCGTTGTTGATGTAGATGGAAAAAGACGTCTCCAAGAAGATCAATTATTTCTCAAACGGCACTTGAGATTAGGAGAATCTCCAACTCCACATTTCCCACAATTTCCAACTCGTACCCAACTCTTGGGATCAAATCTTTCGTGGCTTTTCCGCCGGCCCGTCAAATTAGTCGCCATGGCGCCAACGTCCCGAGCCTCTTAGTCGAGCGCTCGGCATCGTCAAGACGTCCATTCAATGCAGCTTGACAAGAGCTCCAACGAATTCCAAGAAAACGATGCTTCTTGTTTGTCAAATTCGGGTAGGCTGTGCTACTTATTACGAGACCATAAGTATGGAAGTCTCACCCAACTCTCCTTTTCTCTTCTTCACGTTATTTCGTCTCTCTGTACATTTTTATTTCACCCCCGTCACTCATTCACCATGCTCCTCCCCCTCCTCCTCGCCGGCCTCGCCGCCGCCCTCCAGCCCATCGTCATAGAAGGCACCGACTTCATCAACTCCGCCACGGGCGCCCGCGTCCAAATCGTCGGCGTGGCCTACCAACCCGGCGGCTCCTCCGGCTACTCCCCCTCCACCGGCGTCGACCCCCTCTCCGACGGCCCAACCTGTCTGCGCGACGCAGCACTCATGCAACGTCTCGGCATCAACGCCATCCGCGTCTATAACGTCAACCCGGATCTCAACCACAATCTGTGCGCTAGCATCTTCAATACCGCCGGCATTTACATGCTATTGGATGTGAATTCTCCGATGCAGGGCGATCATATTAATAGAGAGGCGCCGTGGACCACGTATACGGCGGCGTATCTTGAGAGGGTGTTTAGGGTTGTGGAGGCGTTCAAGGAGTTCCCTAATACGATGGCGTTTTTTGCGGGGAATGAGGTTATTGATGATTTTGAGAGTAGTGTTAATGCGCCTTATATGAGGGTGAGTTGATTTTTTTTGGTTGTTCGTTTTTTTCATGGGGGAGCTTTTGGGTTGGGGGGTTGTGGTTCGATGTTATGGTTCTCTTTGTGTTGCTAGTGAGCAATTCGAGGAATTTGAGTAAGTTACTCAAGTTTCTCGGATTGCTTGTGAGTAGATCGAGTATGAGCTGATTTTGGGTTTTGGGTCTCTCTTCTGTTGTAGTGGGGGATTCGAGGAGTTGAGTAGCTTACTCGAATACTTCGAATGCTTTATAAGCGATTTGAATGTAAGTTGGGTTAGTTCCACTGATACGGTGTTCTGATATTACTGCCGAGTTGTATCTGAGGAAACTGTATTACTCGGAGTCAACTCAGCTAGGTTGCCACACTGTTCATTACTCCAGTTCGACCCAAGTCATTTACCACGCCTTTAGTTTTCATTGCCTGTTTGCTACTCCATGTTACGTTTCATTCCATTAACCAGCTGTCTCTCAATCCACTTCTGTGGACTGTTGTATTTCAAATCTTCACCAAATTTGAAGTTCCCTTTATCTATCATTCTACTTTTTTCATTCAACGACATGATAGATGATCATCCTGTTTTTTTCGCGACCATGTCTGATTTTCCTTCCCAATTTCATCTTCAATCTTATCATATCACAAAACTAACATCTCCAGGCCGTAACTCGCGATTTAAAACTGTACATCGCAGCCAACTCCCCCCGCTACATCCCAGTCGGCTACTCCGCTGCCGACGTCCGCGACATCCTCGAAGACTCCTGGAATTACCTCCAATGCACCACCACTGGCGACGCAGGTGACGCCTCCCGCGTCGACCTCTTCGCCCTAAACTCCTACTCTTGGTGTGGCAACGCCACCTACCGCTCATCAGGCTACGACATACTCACATCCACCTTCGCATCCTCCTCCGTCCCCGTCTTCCTCTCCGAATACGGCTGCAACGAAGTCGACGGCCCGCGTCCTTGGACCGAAATCGCCGCTTTATACGGCGAGGAAATGCGCGAAACCATGTCCGGCGGCGTCGTCTACGAATGGACGCAAGAGGAAAATAACTACGGTCTCGTAGAACTATCTGACAACGGCGACATCCAACTCATGGAAAACTACAACAACCTCCAAACCCAACTCGGTCTCTTAGACTTCACCGTCCTCGAAGGCCAACCCGGCCGCAACCGTCCCGTCACCCCACCAACCTGCGAAGCAAGCCTCATCCAAAACACCACCTTCCCCACAAACTTCACCCTCCCCGCCACCCCCGCCGAAGCCGTCACGCTCATCGAAAACAGCCTCGACGGCGCGAATCAGGGTCGGCTGGTCACGCTTACGAGTCTGAGAGTTGAGCAGGGCGTACAGGATGCGGGGGGTGCGGATATTGTGAATTTGGCGGTCGAACCGGTGGAGGATGGCGAGGTTAATAGTCCTACGCGGACGGGGAATGGGGGGCCTAGTACTAGTGGTACGGGCACGGCGACGGGGTCGGGGGCGAGTGGTAGTGCGAGTGAGACTGGGGCGGCGAGTTTGGTGGGTGTTAAGGCCGGGGGTGTGGTTGTGGGGATTTTGGGGTTGTTGATGAATTTGTAGAGTCTTATACCTGTTCTTTCATTGAATCGGGTTACAGGGAGTTGTATATAGAATGTGCCCAGAGAAGCATCAATCTCGGTTTTCTTTTGTTTCGCGAACTTGTAGTTGTATATTCTGGTAATGGTCTTTATAGAGCCAAAGACGTATAGACAAGGTCTCTGATAAGTCTCCAATGTAAATCAAGATTTAATGAAAAAACTTCACTTTACAGATAAAATCTCCTTCATCTGATTTAAGTCACTTGCTATGAGACCGAAATTTGTGCCCACAGACCGTCCACAGTAAACCACTGCCAGGTACCTTTCCACTCCCTTCGCTACTCTTTCTCTTCTCGTAGAACTCGGGCTTCAAACGACATTCGTGGGGTAGATGTTGATTGAACCCGGTACTTCGCACGTAATTATATTTAGCGCTGAACGGGAATATCAATAACGGTGACGAAGGAGTGAGGTTTGAAAGATTCAAGAGAACGGAAAAGTCCTTTGGCTGTGGGAAGTGAGTGGTTGTTGTGGGTTTGGAGGTTGTGGACTTGTAGGCGAGGCGGGAAATAGTTGTATTGACTTTGGATAGTGCGGAGCGCGCAGTTGTGTGATGAAGCTTCGTGTAATGGTGTGGTGATTAGGTTTGTATAAATAAGATTTTACTTGCGGATTTCGAGACTTGTGTTCGGGTTAGAGAATGAGGAGTTTGAGACTCGTGATGGTACAGGGGATCTTTGCGGCTCAAGAGAGATGTACAGGACCTGGACACTGTGTACGCGAAGAAAAGACCGGATTCTAGTGATGCCAATGACGAAAGTGCTAGGCTGAAAATTCTATCTTCTTCGTCATTGCTCGAGTGAGTTTGTCTCGAGTTTTATCCTGAGCCCCGGGCGTCAAGAATGTAGTCCGAATTATTCCTACACGCCGCTGATTCGCGAGTTGAAAGCCCAAAATGTTAGCCAGCGCTGATAGACTTTTCTTTTCAGAGAATTATTAGTGTTCGAGTTAGTCTCCTATTGTATAAGTAGAAGGCTTAATAGCGTCGATGAACTTGAGAAATCCGATTGTCATGCTAACAGAGGCTCTGCTCATCTAAGCGGGTAATGATGTCGTAATTCGTTTTCGAAAGCAATAAATGAGATGCTTTGGTGGAGGACGCTGTACACTGATATTACTGTGGATAGAGAAACCAATTCGTTCGCAGCTTTCAAGTTCTTCGAAGTATAAGCAAAGAGGATGTTTTCTCGTTAAAGGATCAGTTTCATGGGGCACGAAAGACACCACTGTTTTGAGATTAATTATGGCTAATAATTTTCTGATCTGACTGCCTCTGAAACACATAAGAAATGGCGAACAGGAAAATAAATCTCCGCAGACCTTTGCATCCGTCAATCTTCATCCGTACGATTCCGAAGCTGATATATCCCGAGCAAGGTACCATCGACCGTCAAACCTGCATCATCCATGTTCCACCTATGACTGTTTCTCAGTGTCCACTTTCACGAGCGCTGCTTTTGGTGTTACATATCTGCTGTTGACCCGTCGCTCGTCTCGCGCCTGCTCGTGAGTGTCAACTGGCTGATCCGAGGACAACCAAGAGTACCACCATGTTGAACGTTTATGTCTAGTACGGCAACCCAAGTCCCAATGAATTTGTGTTACGTCCTTGCGCTCAGGCTTCTTGATACAGTCAAGGCACAAGCCCTGAAAATCCTTCAAAACCGTCTCTGTAGCGAGGTGGACGACGTCTTTGAAGTTTGAAGAACAGAGCTTGCAGTTCTCGACTGGAGGATGATATTTGAAATCTTCAAGCAGATCAATGGCACTCTGAACCGACAGTTGTCCCTTTCCATAAGTCTTCGTCATTAACGGCCATGCTTTAGTGGCATGAAGTGCTTGCTCGTATGCGAACAATCCTTCCTTTCTGCACTTGCATCCTGCGACCAAAAATCGTAAATGGATATACAGGCCGTCGTGAAGTTTGTGTGTCAAGTTCACTCTTGCACCATTGACCCCGCCTAGCATCCAGTCAGTACGTCCAAAAACAAGAGAAAAGGGATCTGGTTGGTCTTACCAACAATACGAGGTGCGATTTGAAGATGTCGAATGTGTGGATGAGGGTTCCAGATAGATATATGACCAGCTGTCTCAAATACCAGCTTCTTGGTCACCGCCATGAATCCTTCCGCATAGTCAAATTGCCGACAGGGATAAACAAGCATCCCAAGTTCGTATATATCCTCTGGTTTCGTATTCTTCATGAAATATGTAAAACAGCTTTTGAACCAATCATTCAATAGCTCTAGTTTGAAGAAGTAGAAATGACTAGCTTCAATGACGTCGAATAAATCAGCCGTTCTAATCTTGCCACGGCCTTCATTCATCGTCCCATGCAGAAATCGAAGCCAAATTTCAAGTCCAACCAGATATTCCGATTCGAGATCAACGACACTCTGATTTGCTTCCTTGAATCCACCTGTGAGCATCATCTTAAAGGTCGTGGAATGCTCGATTAACACGCTCTTCTTGACTTTCAACTCAGCAAATATCTTCCCTTGAATGATATTCTTCCCGACACCAGCTCCTTCAAAACTGAACTCGTTGTTCTTTTTGTAGGGTCGAAGAATTAGATCGCCGGCAGGATGGATGATGATTCTCTGTTCAGCGGCTTTTAGATCGATCTGTCGCATCTTGGGCTTCTTATCGGAAGACGACGACATGATTGCGGGTGAAATATACTGTTTTGAAGAATGTGTTAGTGCTCCGATCTAGTTTTCATATCAGGAGTGCGGGTACCTGAGTTACGGGGAGTAACGTGAAGGAGAATGCCGCAAGCCAGGTCGAGGGAAAGACGTTGTCGAACTCGATCTTCTTGTTGTATTGAAGAAGGTTGAATGATGAAGGACTGTGTTGACAGACTTGAAAAAAGCATGCTTAAGCGAGTTTGCTTCCACCGCGAAGCTGAAGTCGAGTGATGTCCATAAAGAAGGAACGAGACTCGTGAACAATTTCTCTCTCCCGAAGATTTCTCTTGTGTATTTAGTCTATCTCGGTTATATCGACAAAGAAGAACAAGGAGAAACTGGAAACCCTTATCTAAAGTTTTGTTGCTCAAAGAGAATACGACCACAATGAAACTATGGAAGACGTTTCCAAAGAACAGTCGTTTTGAAATTGCAGGCATGACGAATTATGAAAACAGAACATAAACTACTTCCGTGTATAAAAGCTTTGACCTTGATGCTACAATTATGCTCCTCCTCAGCCATTGGATTCCCATCCATTTGACACCCATCACATCATGCATTCCACCACTTTCTTCACGGTCGTGCTCTCTTTTTCCATCTTGGCTCATGGTCTCCCTCTCAGCACCAGCTCCGAGGTCACCAGAACCCAGGTTTTGCATCTCTCTCGCATCATGAGCAGGGCATACAACACCACCATTCCGTCCGCTACTCTGCAATCTGCAACTGCCGTAGTGACGAGTGAGTCATCATCCACTCAGGCCGAAGCTACACCACCTGCCCATTTCAAACTAAACGTTGACGAGCCTTCTAATCTGAATCTCACAGGTAAAGCACAGTCAATGCCTTCGTACGAGACTATCCTGGAATCTAACCCTGAGTCTGATATGAAAAACACCATTGCCATTACAGTCACAGTGGCTGTTATTTTTGTCTTCTGCATGGTTGTGTTGTTTTGGCAGATGCATCAGAAGTGATGGCGCGGCGAGAATGGGCGGTATTATTTGTTTTGCCGGATTGAGTCACGGTAAGTTCTTTTCTATCTCTATGTTGCTGCTTGAAAATGGTTAAAATATAAGAAACTTTCTGAAATCAAAATATTCTCATCTCATCAATTTTGTCCCCTGTGAATTAACATATTGAATCTAACGCTCTTCTTTCATTGATACTAACATGTACGAAAAGCTGTATCAAACTTGTCCTTTTACAAATCCCGAGGCTTTTCATTTCTTGTAGTCGCGTCAGCTTGATTTGCAGAAAAGTGGTTGTAGAAGTAGCCCGTGAAATAAAACCGGTTGATATATTGGGAAATCATTGAATGCCTTGAATTCCAGCGATAGATGTTCGAGAATCTCGTCTGAACATATCGCTTGGAGAGAAAGCAACTATCTCGAAAATAAAATTGTCACTTGTAGGTCACGCAGGAACAAGAAGTTTCATTAATACAAGTGGTAGCTTTAAGCAAGCCTCCCATTTTCAATCCTAACTGTAACCGTTCGTTTTGCTGACGGAATTTAGGGATTAATGATCTTGTTTCAGCAGGCGTCGAAGCTTCATCCATGTCTTACAATGCGTCTTTGTCGTCTATCCATGAAGTTTGGGCCACCTGTCTCGCGCTATGTCTTATGTACAAAGAAATGCCTCTGATCGCAACATTTTTGGAAACTTAATTTTGTTCTCGCAACAATTCGAAACAGAGTTAACTGTTCAAAAGCTCTCTGAATACAAAACCTTTCCCTTCAAATTCCCTCTTACTTCCACCCAACCATCACACAAGACCTACTCAGAACAATTCGGATCATCAAACCCAACTTCCAAACAAAACCACACTGAAGATGTTTTCTACACTCACAACTCTGCTCCTCACCTCAACACTCGCTGCTCTCGCACTAGCAGCTCCTCCTCAAGCCTCTCCCATCGCAATGATCTCACGAGGATTCACCATAACGCCAACAGCAACAGTGATTGCACGTGCTGATTTCAGTGCACTTCCAATAATCCCACGCACTGTAGCCACCATCCCAACAGCATCTGCAGTTGCACTTGCAGCAATCAGTTCATACACACCAGGATCAACCTTCGTTACTCCAATCGAAGATTCTGAAATCGCTGCAAAGCAAAGACGAGGGACTTGGATCATCGTTGTTGCAGTCTTTTTCAGTCTTGTTGCTTGCACTTTGTTTGTTGTGATAGGGAGATGGTTCTTGCTGAGACGCAGCGCAAGGAAGGAGAAGGAGGTGGGGAATGAGAGTTGCTGAGAAGAGGTTCTGATCTCGGAACCTAACCTTCTTGGTGGAAAGCTGATTGTAGGTAGTAAATTCAATCGGCGTTCAATTTGGCCAATCCTTGATACTTCAATGTAACGGGAAAAATTAAACTGACACCATTTCCCGTGACTCCATCTGTGTAAGTGAACATGAATGAAACACAATCGCCATGAACTTTCCATGAAATTGAAAATTAATGTAGTTGGGATGTTCTTGTTTTGATGTGTGTGATCTGATAGTGAATGGACGGAATTACCATAACAGTCAGACTCAACTTTGTTTTGAGCCTAAATCCGGTCTAGTGTTTGATAATGCAGCTAGCTGCAGCTGTAACCTAAGCCAATATAATCATTGCACAACGTGAGTACACGGCAGAATCAGCCTGAAAATACTCGAAAAAGCCATTTTGATACTCAGGAGAGTTTATTCAGGCTTCTTAAGTGAATATTTACACTTCACTCATCCTTAATTTCAACACAGTTCCCATTTTGGTTTCGCAATTTATTAAAGATAAGTTTTCTTCCCAAAGAAATATATAAAAGCATGCAAAGCTTCATTTCTGCACGGTAATTGGCAGTAGGGACAAATTAGAATATTCTATCGTTTCTGTGAAATTGATTTTGATGACGTTAGACTCATCTTCTGACTTATTAGATGTTAGAATTCAATTTAGCCCTCGGAAGCCTATGATCAATGTAACTTTGTCGAAATCCCATTCACTTCATTGGCTAGACCGAAAAGCTAGTCCTCATTAGGTAGTCACGTGGTGCAACACTAAGGCTACCTGAGCCAGCCAGGCTTAATATCCTTCCTGAATTATCACCAATTATACCCAATATTGTACCCGCATATCCCGACGAATTACCGTGCCGTGCACGCAGTAGGACCTTATTTCTGATGAACCGACAAGCTTAGAATGCCTTGCCCGCTAGTTTGCATGCAAGCTCAGCCTTGTTGCGCTGTTCAGCCCTCAAAATATCAGCGGGGTTTTCTTCTCCCATCGCTCTGTTTTTGTATCCTCCAATCCACAATGTTATTGTTTTCTCAGTTCTCTTTCCCATAACTTTATGGCGGAGGCTATCGGTGTTGGAGCATCGGTCGTCGCATTCATCGGTCTAGCCGGCCAAGTTGCGCAAGGATGCCAATACATCAGGACCCTCCTGGACGATATCAAAGATGCTTCTGAAGACGTCCAGTCGTTACGCACGGAGGTGAAAATATTCCAGTTGACATTAGAAACATTCAGGAATACGCTCCAAGAGCTTGCAGATTCGGGGGTTGCAGTAGAGGCGGATGCCCACGCACTCGCCACGAGGCTCGCTCTCTCCTACAGTGAGGAAGCCCTTGAGCTGTTGCAAGGGCTACTTGCTAAGACTAAGGATACTGGACGTATATGGAGCAAAGTTCGATTCGCAAGTGGGAAGAGCAAATATGCCAAACATGTCTCTCGGATAGAAAGGGCGAAGGGCTACATTGAAGCGGCTCACGCGGGCATTCTCCTGTAATGTTTCAATCCAAACGTCATGCAGACAGTTGTTAATATTTCCGAGATCTTTACAGCATCAGCAGGCACTCAATGCCAGAGCAACTCATCGAAGCTTGAGTGCTCTCACCTCGAATATCGATACTACAACAGCGACCATCTCCACACTCCCCCTCCGATTCGATGAAGTCAGCTCAGTCACAAAAGATACAGTATCTCAGCTGAGATGCGAATTCTCTCAGAGATTACATGATCTCTCGACTGGCATTAATGCAATTCTTCTGTCGAATTTCACTGCCTTCACTACCATCATCTCCGAAACGCACAGCAGAGTTGAGGAAGTCCATCACACAGCTCAAGCTACACAGTCAGCTGTTCAAGACTTGAGATCAGTATCTGAAGGTATGCGATGGCTGCCCATGAGAATGGGAGAAGTTGTGAAAGAGGCATTTCGGGACGTGCTTGTGCAATTTTATGAGGACAGAAGAACATTGGATGGTCAGACTTTTGGACAGCAAGATACTGCTGGAATATATCATCTAGCTTCTCGCGGTCGGTCAACTCGTAGGATCGTGTCCCAACACACTTCCACACGCACCTATATACGAGCTGTCGGTATTATCACTGTCCACTCCATAACAACGACATTTTGCGAACGCGAGAGCCCTGGGACAGACGATCGCATCACATCAACAGTGACTCACTAAAACGTGCATTTAAACCCAAATCCAGATCTCATTCGTTTGGGTGTCTATTGTTCCTTCATTCAACAAGGGTTTGGATTTTATGATGCACATCCTGAGCCGATTCTAAGGGTGTATAATATCGTTGATACAAGCGCAATGATTGTCAAGGCTTGCACGGCTGGAGATCTTTTGACTGTACAAAGCCTTTTTGCGTCGGGTCAAGCCTCGCCGTGCGACCGAATCTGGGGTGACAGGTCTCTCCTCGATCTAATCCAGATGCAAGTGACTTCTACTATTTCAAGCTATACATCAGAAACCTCGCATCAACGTCTCCCCGGGCTTGTCGCGACTTACGCAGAGTTGGTACGATGCGGCCTAGACCCTGGGGTCCCAAGGGCCAATATCGATATTTATGAGCGATCACCTCTTTCTGCTCTTTCGAATCTACAGATAATGTCTCCCGCCGACGCCCATTATATTGTTCTCCTAGCACGAGTCATGATCACCAGCAGTATCCAAGACCCACTCTTGGGGGCAGATATAGAGAAACTCGTCTGGCAAGAGAAAATAGCAGGGCGTAAAATGCCACTTTATGAATTACTACGGACGCAAGAGGAATGGCCAATATCATGGCCAAGCGATGATGAGGTGCTGATCGCTCGCTGTTCTAAGTTGCACCGTGCTTATGCTTATCATTCAGATGTTGGACCTGAAATTTACGCTGAATTTTACGCTCTTGAGTATGACCAAATATGTTGTATGGTCAATCCTGCACCTTTCCGGTTTCTACTCCAGATATGCCAACATTGGAATGAGGCACTTACTATTTTGGCAACAATAGAGCAGTTTTTTGAAAGCAACGATATACCCGGACGTCAAAAGCTAGATGAAGATAGGAATGATAGGCTTAGCGGCAGAATTCGCGATTGTTTGAACTCGTGCTTAGAACACGGCCTAGATCTCAATAATCCGCCTGTTGGTCTTTATTCTGTGTTAAAACGTTTCAGAATAGATGGCAAGGTGAACATAATCGATTCCGCAATGCTGTCCCTTGGAATTCCGAGGGAGCTTGCCACTGATTTGCTTGAGGCTGAACTGTATTCGTCTATGGCCTATCAACTTTCCTCGCTTGGGGTAGCGCCTTTTGAATTACTTGGACAACGTGGTCACTCCTGGAATTTCATTCCTCGGGAATTAAGATATACCTCTAGCCCAAATGATAATGACTGGTACGGGTATTTGGAGACCTTGACTACCATGTCAGGGGTTTCAGAGACTGAGGTCACGCCAGTTGAAAATATGTCGAACCACGAGTCATCCGAGGAAGATTCATCCTGCGACGAAGAAATTTTACACGAAGAAATGTCAGACGATGAGATGTCAGACGAAGAGATGTCAGACGAAGAGATGTCAGACGAAGAGATGTCCTACGAAGAGATGTCAGACGAAGAGATGTCCTACGAGAGTCAATCTGACGAGTACACGAACACATCTGACGAGGATGCGTCCCACGAGGATATGTACTTCCTGGAAGATCTTATTCGCCGAGGATATGTCAAAAACTTATACCAATGCGGAAATTCTCTCTCTGAGGTCACCATCGATGACGCACTCCTAGAGATAAATGCATTCACTATCGAAAGTCCCTTTCTTCCGGTCGGTTTCAACGCCATGAGCGTTGAAGAGCCACTGGAACCTCCCGATTCCAAACAGAACCCAGAGTTACTTGCCGAACTGAGAAATTCAGGGTCATCTTCTGTCCTATCAGCAAAAATTGGAGAAGATGACGCCTCATCAATATGGTCAGAGCTACTAGACTCGTTCGATGCAGAGTGTCAGGACGACCTTCAGGAAAGAGGGGATATCACCATGCAGGATTTGGAAATGCCTTCGGCTTATGAGACAGTTGCTACTGCTTACAACATCGGAACTGATATGATCATCGATACCCTTGAGGAGGATGCAGGTAGTGACGATTCGTCTGAGGACAGACTTGATGGATTAAGCCTTGCTCTGAATGCGTTCTGGACGTGACATTCTTCCATATGTAGCATCATAATTACATTTTCCTCTTTCTATAACAAACGTTATGCAAACTTGGATGTATAAAAAATTCAGAATGCTGGTGCTACGTTAGCGAAATCACCTTTGTTGGTAGATTTATGAGCCTAGTATATCTGGCATAGCTTGGTACAAAAATCCTCGACAGTCGCTAGGTTCAGAACCGTTACACTTCTGAGATTGATTGGCCACTTTCAGTCTCTTTGTGGCTTAATAGCAGAACTCGACTGCGGCGATTTGAGTGACTGTGGTTTAGACAAAGAACCTGACTCCTTTGAAAGTCCACGCTAACTGTTCTGAAACAATATAATTATTCTGGATCAATCAACACCTAAGGTCTATCCAGAACAACAAAGAACAAGAATGTCGCATAAGTATATTGCGGGCACGAACCATTTGAAGACCTGACCAGACAAATTTGAGTGCTTCAACAAGCCTTTCAAATTCTATAGTCCTCCAAGTCAAAGAATCAACTTTGCAAGATGCAGATTTCATTCTACGTACACCTCCTGGCAGCTTCCATCATCGGTGGAGCTGCTGCACATGATGATGATGCTCCTTACACATCTTTAGGTGCATTCGTAGACAGGCCATCACACACAGGAAAACGTAAAGTGACAGTTGTTGTCACGTCTCACATCATCGATGCTTGTGTCACCCCTTGTACGAAAGTCTTCGCAGATGGACCTACCTTCACACCCACCCATACACCTCATGTCACCATTCCAACCAGCTTCTATTCCAACAGTGGCAGACACAACACCGTCAGCGCTACCTTTTCAGGCTCTTCAACCGCCAAAGCAGTCCCCACAAAAATCGCTGCTCGCGCACAGAACGAGACGAAGATAATCGAACAAACTGACAAACCACACCAACTTTCATCGCTATTTAAACCTAGTGCAGGTGTCATCGCTGGGATTGTGGTTGCTTGCTGCGCTGGGGCCGTGGCGTTATTCGCTATGATCACGATTATTATCAATTTCTGGATGGGTTCTAACAAGCGGAAGTGGGATCTCGAGGAAGGTAAGCGGAGGAGAAATGAGACTGAGCAACGGGTGGGTAAGGCTGTAAATGGCCCGAATGTTCTTCGTAAACCTAATCCTTATGCCTAGGCTGACTTGCTCGAAAGCGCTTTGCTAGGTAAGTTTGACTCAGCTTGATACGCAATGAAAGAAATATTAATTTCAAACTACACCAAATCCCATTTTATTGACCGAAGTGACTTCCCTAAACGCCTGATCTGCAATCTGCTACCACAACAATCGCAATAAGCGGTCTCTAACGCATGGAATCTTCCATCTCCCAAATCCATCTGATAATGTATTGCCACCCAGTTCTGAGGACTGCCTAAGTATCGCACAACACTCAAGTCTTGCACCGACGTCAACCTCTTGCCGCATATATGAGTTCGACCACCAATTCCTATTCAAATCTCACACTCCTAGAATATCTGGCTGATCAGCATGGAATTCGTTCAGACAACAACTCAAATCAGGACAAACCTCATTTCCCAATCCCCTTCCACGATGTAAACATCTTCTTCACCCTCCCAATCGCACTCCTCTTCACAATCCTACCAGCACCTCCCATCGGCTGTCCCATCGTACTGTTCGAACTCGAACTACTCTGCAAACTCCCATTCGAGACCGACGTTGTCTGCGAACCTCCCCTTTCCTTTCCCTCATTACTCTCGCCCATCACCCATTCGTACATCCGCATCCCCCGGTACTCGCGACCGTCTATGTTCTTGATTTCCGTGCCGCATTGTTTGCAGATCGTCAGATGTGAGGGTTTGCGACAGGACTGGCATCTTGGTAGTTCGATGGAGAAGTCGGGGATGTTTGGTGTTGACATTTTGATCTTGTTGATGTTGTTGATGTTGTTGTTTACTTTGAAAGGTGAAAGTTGGCTGTGAAAATTGGGCGTCGGCGATGCTGAGAAGATGCTAGAATCTAGAGAAATGCGGACAGGAGAATGATATTGATGCGAATGGAAGATATAAATCCTTGAAATGCTTCGTTGTTCCAGATATATCAAGTACTTTAGTGATTCATTCGTTGCCGGGAGTCGTACGTTCCGGATCGATTTCCGCGCATCGAGAAGATTCACCAGATATCTATTGTACGAAGTATGCAGACCCACCCGGCAACCAGATCTGATAAATTCGCTACCGGATTGTTGGTGCACTGAATCGGTATAGACGTGTTTCCGAATATCAACAACTTCACCTTTGACTCGATATGAAAGAGCCATATGATGTCATAAAATTGTGGTCTTTGACTCAAAAAATCCACTCTCCATTAATATGATGATGAATCTATTGATCTATACTCTTCAATCTCCACTGTAAGGTAACTGTTTAATTTATAGCGTGTATTCTTGTTGGTAAAGTGACCTCCGGCCCACAAGGCAAGCAGTCGACATTGTTGTTCTATTTCACCAGTACTATTTTTCACTAATGGTACACAAGGGGTATAGAAGTCGTTGTGTAAATTAGCAGTTTTTCGCTCACAAAACCACCTAACTATTTGCGCACCCCCTATTGTAGGATGAGTAATTAATAGAACACTTGTCGTGGAACGCTCAAAAATATTCAAAGAAAACAACAGCGGGAGGAAAAGCCTATGAAAAGTTTCACTGACTCAAGATTTGGCTCTTTTTACAAAATATCGGGATGAACCGACTAGACTCTCGACGGCCTAACCCATCATATCCGGTTGAACAATAAGGGTCCACGACGTATATACATTTCAGAGCAAATGAAGGTTCCGCTCGGTCTCATCTCTTGAAGTCCAACTGTTTCTGTTGAGCCTTGTTAATCGACACTCAACTACTGAAGTAGTTGAAGATTGTAACAAACTACAGATTCTTAGCGATTTTATTCAGAGATCAGAGAAGTTTGTAGCTACCATGTTCCCGTTTTCTGAACTCGACTTTCATCTTGCATCTAGATTGTGTGACTGCAACGGCCGACCAACATCATCGCACGCAGTACTTAGTTTGTGATTCAGGAATTTCTCTTCTTTCCGGTGTTTATTCCGCTGTGTGTTTAATCAAGTTCGTAAACCATCCTTTCAAGCTCGCTGAGAACCGAAGAAATATGTAGCATATGTGGCTAGTGAAGACATCACTAGGTGAAAGCACGAGGAATGGATGCAAACAAGAGAAGGCTGTACGACATTCCATGGATCGTACCTGGGAAAGTGGCTTTTCAGAGCAGAGGCCGAGGGAAATGTTGAATATGAACACAATATCCTTCCCAAGGGTCCATTTGCTGTCTTGTCAAGAAGGGTTTGTTAACCAATCTGCTGCTTTTGCTGTAATAGTTCATAACAACCAGCTGTCTTTTTTCATGATCATCCCTCCTTTACAAGGCCATCATGTCGATCAGTGTAATAAATCAACGTGATAAGAATTGGATTTTTGTTGTCACTGTTTCTCTTTGACTTCTTCACAACTCATGCCGTAAGATTCTTCGTCATCTAGAAGACCTCCTCTAAAGGCAAGTAAGCATTGATACATATAACAGTGTCGAGTGTCAATATGGGGCTCGCTATCACAATTAGAGCACAACAGTTGTAGAGAGTAGTCGTGGAAAGAATTGTTCAGCCAAGAAAGCAAATGACTGGAGGGAAAATACCATGCCGTTCCAGCATCGTTCCCCATGATTCTTCCGGGAAAGGTACGGGGTAACGAGGCCCGGATTTGCTTGGCCAACGCTTCCATCCCCAGGATTCAAATAGCCCGCTGCGGAGAACCCCAACCTTTCTCCAGATATGCATGGCAGCTACCAAGGGGCGTGACAAAATCTACGGTGTTCCAGTTGCCAAATCGTGGCCTCGGTTGGAAGTGGAAGGTAATCTCGCTACACCGCTTTCCATGGCAGAATAATATCGTCTGCCATCTGGAAGTCTGTATGGTCAAACCCGGTTCTGCCAGCCAAGGCGGTGACGCTGAAAATGCCACTTTCACCTCCTCTCATCTCCTCCTCAACCTGCATCAACTATTCCGTCTTGGCTGCTGAGGAAGACCAGAACAACAACAGCAACAACAATCGATAGTCGTCATATCGACCTCATAATGGCTAGTTCAACGAGCCTAGCACAGAAGGGCGATGCCACGACGGAAGAATCTCAATTAAGAGATGATCTTGGCCCAAGCCATTGAATCTGCATATTTGGGTCGCATCATCTGCAGGAACCTGGATATAATGTTACCAAATCTATAAAGAGAGCTGTTCGCGTCCATCTTCATTTTTCTCATCATCCACAACTCAAGCAAGCTTCTACACAGAATCTTCTTCTGGACGACCGCCAACATGAAGTTCATCAACAGCCTCTTTGCTTTAGGCAGTCTCGCCTCTGTCTCGGCACAAACCTGCAATTCCGACAACTGTCTTCGTGCTCTTCGTGCTGCAGACCGTATTGTGGAGGCAAGAGCTTTCTGTGGTACATTCACGGCTGCTCCTAATGCCACTCTTCCTCTTCCTACGTTTGCAGCAGCAGCATGTACTGGAAATGCTGCCAGTCGTGTGAGCAGTGCCTGCAGTTGCATTGCAATATCCACAACTTCGGTATGTATTATCTGGTTAAAGGTTAGAGATACATTTTACTGATTGCAAAATTCAGTCGACACCTTCCCCAACTTCTGCTTGTGATCCAAACGCAAGCTACCCAGCTATTCCACTACCCACCGGTGCCTTTGATCTCGTTGGGTTTGGTAAAAGCAACCCATATGGAGCTGTCAATGGAGGAGAAGGTGGACCCACCACTACCATCAGTGCTGGAGCCACAGGTGCCAATGCCGCATTGGTCGCGGCTGCAACGGTATGGAGTTATAATTTCTTCTCAGTCATGTGACTAACTGACTGTATGTAGGGCTCAAACAAGTTGACTATTATTGTTGAAGGAGAATTCAACCTTCCAGCACGTCTCCGAGTTGGTTCTAACAAGTCTATCATTGGTGGCCGCAATGGAACTATTGGGACAAATGGAATCACGATGATCAACGCCGATAACATCATTCTCCAAAACATGAGAATTACCGGTGTTTTCGACAACGATTGTTTGACTATCCAGAACACAACTCGGGTGTGGATCGATCACAATGATCTCTCTTCAAACCCCAACATCATCAAAAATGGTCCAGATCTCTACGTGCGTATTGTCTTCATTTTCTAGCCTATTATGCTCGCTAACACGAACTAGGATGGTCTTATGGACATTATTCGTGCATCAGATTGGATTACCGTCTCTTGGAACTACCTCCACGATCACTACAAAGCATCTCTGGTTGGTAACAACGATCAATTCCGAGACATCGATTTCGGTCACTTCCACATCACATACCACCACAACTACTGGAAGAATCTCGGTACTCGTGGAAATGCTGGTCGATTCGGAACACAACATTTGTACAACAACTACTACAAGGACTTCCGCTTCCAGGCCATCCACTCACGATCCGACAACCAGGTACTCGTTGAGGGCAACGTCTTCACTGGCGATACCCGTGAGGCTTTGAGCACATATGGACTTGTCATTCCTGAGGATTCGCCAAACACCTCTCCACTTGGTGACTACGAGATTGATGGATATGCCAATCTCGGTGCTCCTAATGACTTTGGTGGATCTGGTGTCAACATCACCCAGGTTGGAAACTTCACTACCGCACCATACAGTTACACCTTGACTCCGCTCGTGGATGTTCCTGCTTTGGTTGTCAGATATTCTGGCTTGAACAAGCTATAAGCTATAAATCAAATAGAAACTTGCTACCATGTTCATTACCTGGAATTGTTGATTTGACTCATGTGACAATCTTGAAACCCGTGATCGTAAAGATAAAACACATTAATACAAATAACTAGACTAGAAACTCTTGGTAGCCGTCACGTGGAACGGTGACGATAGAAGATGAACTATCATTCTTTTTCAATTTACGCAGGAATTTAAGATGGACTCAAATGATCATGGCACAGTCTACAAAAAAGAACCATGCAGCTCTAGTCATATAGAATAAAACAATACAAAGTGTCTGACAGACGGCAACTGATCCGAGGAGCATCATCTGTTCTCGGCTCTTGTTACATTTGAAACCTGCATGTGTCGTTTCAATCCTCTCCGATGTACTCTCGCTTGATCTCGTTCCATTTTGTTCTGTGTCCATGGGCACAAATCTTCAGCTGATGGCGCGGTTTGAGTGGAGCTTCCTTTGAATTGTCTGATTACATATTTCAATGTGTTTCTAGAAGTATTAGTCACCGGGAAGCAGGCCACTTGACGCTTGCGCCACGTGGGAAGTCCTTTGCTCTAAATTACTTGAAAATATACGTCCGAAGTGTTTGTCCGACCAATTGATGCCAGAGCATTAGACTTGTCACGTTGACGTTGACGTAGACACGCCGCCCAGCTGTGCAGCAACTCAGCTTGACAAAAATGCCGTATCATTCCTGATTGAAGGCCATCACTTCGGGAACACAACTACCTAAATCATAGAAGCGGCTTGGAACGTGTGAACAGCACTGCGATTCAAATCGGGGCTTTGGAAGGTGTAGTAATTTCGAGCATGACTATATTATTGTTAGCAAATAAAAAGTCCGCTCCCGAACAAGACATCTCAAATCCATGCAGATCCTTAGCTCGTGTAAAAGTATGTCTCCGCCGCACAGCTCGTGTAAAAGCATGTCTCCGACGAACAGCTCGTGTAAGAATCATATCTCTGCCGCACAGCTCGTGAACGGGATGTCACACAACGCCCCTCCTGACGAAACTTTACGATCATAGCGATAAGACCTAAAAATACTCACAATTGAACGAATGTTTTATAAATACAAGTCTTTCATGTGCCTACAAAAGCAAATCAACCAGAAGCAAAAGCCCCATTTTTCTTAAGAGCATTTCATATTTCAAATCACTCAAAAACGACAACGAAAAGTTCGCGACGGCGTATAATCCCACACCATTGCTTTTTCAACTCCTCGACATGAAGCTCTTTCTATCTCTCTCTGTCACAGTACTATTCTCCAACATCGCTACAGGACTCGCTATAAACGACGCCAACCCTCTCGTCGAAGCCAGAGACCCAAAACCAGCAGCGAAAAAAAGCGTACAGGGATTTGTGCTAAAAGAGCCACAATCACCAGTGCCAAATTTGCGAAAGTCCGAAATGGTCAAATTTCTGGATTCCCTTGGGGAGATTGCCCTTCCTCGCGTCGTTGACTTTAGAGGTAAGCGGAGCAACAACAATTTCGACGCCCGTGGCAACTTCGAAATCTCAGCAAAAGACCACCTTGTGATTCCTGAGATAGATTATGAAGGTTTCGCGCGTAAGAGAGCAGGTGGTGTGCCTGTCAAGACGAAGAAAGTCGACGCTGCAGAAATTGAGGACTTCATGCGTCGTTGGGAAACTGATTTTAAGAAAGAAAAATGAGATTTGCAACATCGGTGTTCTTGATATGGTCTTTACAATTATAAAGAAAGATTACTATGAGCAATGGAATACAAAGTCTCGAGCGTTGACCAGGTGTTGTTCGATTTCAGGTATTAGATGACTTAGTCTATCCACTTTGCGTTCTCGGATGATCGGCGTTAGGGTGCATTTTGACAGCTATTAGCCCGCTTTTGTCGGTATATATAGAAGGCGCTTTCGTTTCTTAACTTTTGTTCATTCAGACAAGTATCTCTATTCTTTTAGACTTCTACAATTCAACTTTTTTGGCGTCTAACGCTTGGCAATTTATCCTTCTCTTTCATTCGTTCACGTATCCCCGAAGACCTTTCAAACGCTTCAATATTGTGTCTAGTGAGAAAAAGAATATCGTCATTTCCTCATCTTGCTCTGTGACATCAAGAAGGCGCTAATGTGGATATTCGAGTTATGTGTCAACGTACCAAAAAGCAGCGAGTAAGACAATGGATATGACATGTTGGATTATACCGAAGGAAAAAGCACTGCCAGTAATAAACTGAACGTATACACTTTTACTTAGCCCCTTAAGCACCTTTTTGTTTAATTAACTACTATATATATAGAGATTCGAGCTTTTAAAACTGTACAGTACTTATCTTTTCTTACTCTAACAGCCACTAAAGCCTTATGTGTTATCCTTTAGTAAGAGATAGAGAAAGAGGGTGTAGTACGTCGTGTAGACGTTTAAAGAAGGCTAGTCATATGTATATTAAGCGACAACTACTATCTGGGCTCCCGGAGGCTTGTGCGCGGTACGATTGGCTATAGGTCACATGTGTCTTCACAAATTATTTCTTCATTAGCTAGACCTGTAAGTTAATCCCAATTAGGTAGTCACGTAGTGCAACACCAAGAGTACTGAGTCTCCCAGGCTCAGGGCTCTTCCTTAACTATCACCGATTTATACTATATATTGCACCCACATATCACGACGAATTATCGTGCTATATATATAAAATTACCTGAATTCTAATGAACCGACAAGTATTTTTAGTTCTATACCAAAGTCGACACTCTATAGGCGCGCCTCCTCCCTGCGGTATCTGTTATTCCGTGCCGAAGCAAAGACTCTATAGGTGCGCCTCTCCCGAGCCCGGTAATTATCCTGGTCACATAGCGGCTAGCGGCTAAAACCTTCTTTCATCAATTCCATCCCCATTGGTCAGGAAGAGGAATTTCGTTTATCCAAAGTAGACACCCAAAAGATCTAGAAGTTCGGTTTGACTAATTCATTGGCAGCTAGCTTTTACAGAGTATGGCCGGGACCAGAGCCACTCGTGAGCGCCAACTATTCAGCATCTTATAAAGCCTATTATGCCACCATGAGAAATCCTCAAAGTTTTGTTTCTTAAATTAACGAGTCTCCTAGTGCAGTTGCTAAAGTCTTTTGTCGATCGCTTCCAATTCCACCCACAATTTGGAGCCAACTATGAAGTGTTTACTTTCGCTTGCGCTCTTGCTAGCCAACATCGGCCGAACAGTCGCGGACAACCCCATCATTCAAACCATATACACAGCAGATCCAGCCCCATACGTCTATAATGACACTATCTGGCTCTTCGCAGACCACGACGAAGATTCAGCGAGCAGCTTCTTCCTGATGAAAGAATGGCGCATATACTCCAGCACCGATGTAGTCAACTGGCAAGACTGGGGAACAATAGCGAGCCTGGCATCGACCTTCAAGTGGGCCAGTGACAGAGCTTGGGCACCGCAGGCAATTGAACGCAACGGCGTCATCTACATGTACTGCCCTGTGCAGCTGAGTAGTGGTGCCATGGCAATTGGCGTTGCCACCAGCAAGTCTATCACCGGCCCATATGTGGATGCCCTAGGGAAACCGCTGGTGCAGAACAACAACATCGACCCGACTGTCTTCATCGACGACGACGGTCAGGCTTACATGTACTGGGCGAATCCGGGGCTTTATTATATCAAGCTAAACAAGGACATGATATCGTACAGCGGCTCAATCGTCAGCGTCTCCAAGCCCGGCGGCCTCACAGAAGCGCCCTGGCTCTACAAGCGTAACGGCAAGTACTACCTCGCATATGCTTCCAACGGAATTCCGGAAAGTATCTCGTACTCGACAGCCACAAGCCCTACCGGCCCATGGACGGGTAAGGGCGGGACAATCATGGCCGCTTCCGGTGGTTCCTTCACTAACCACGAGGGCATCATCGACTATAAAAGCCACTCTCTCTTCTTCTACCACAACGGCGCGCTTCCAGGCGGCGGCGGCTATCACCGCTCTATCTGTATCGAGGATTTCACGTACGGCTCGGACGGTTCAATCCCCACCCTCAAGATGACGACAACGGGTGCCGTCCAGATTGGTAGCCTCGACCCTTACGTCCAGACTTCGGCCACCACTATTGCCTTCTCCTCGGGAGTCAAGACGGAAAAGTACAGCGAAGGATTTATGGACGTAACCAAGACCAACACCAACGGCGCATATATCAAGGTCAAGGGTGTCGACTTTGGCTCCACCGGTGCCGCATCACTTTCGGTTCGCGTGGCCAGCTCCAGCGGCAGCGGCAAGCTCATCGCAAGCCTGGGCAGCAAGACCGGCACCGTGATCGCGACTTGCAGCGTCGCATCGACGGGCGGCACGCAGAAATGGGAGACACTCAATTGTCCCGTCACGGGCGCCAAGGGCAAGAATGACTTGTACTGGACGTTCTCGGGCAATTTTGGCTTTGCTTGGTGGCGCTTTACTAAGGCGGTCTCTGTGGCTCGTGATTTTGAGGCATGAGTTCGTGCTTGGTAAACGATGTTTCAAGAAAAGAAATTTAATCATTTAAATTTTGGCATCGAATGCTTTCGTAGCATTGAAGACAAGAACCGGAAGGTGCATGTGTTATTGTGAGCATAACTTACGAAGCTTAGGAGAACTATAATTTCAGAATTATAAGCTTGACCCTGGTAATATTGTCTAAATGAGTCTAATTTTCTGTTGTTTGTCGAATGAAACTTCCCTAGATACCACTAGCGGTATTATCGCGCTTACCGGATTCCCTCTCGTCTTCATGATATCGTGAAGCCTTGACAAATTGATAATATCGACGTCGTAGTTATCTTTGAAGAAGGGTTTGGCCTTTGATCTAAAAGCGAAGAATGACTTCAGGATCTACTAGGTTTGTTTCTATAGCCTCAACAAATCAAGCAATCTGAGGACTAAGCAGGCTATTAGCGACACACTTGACAAGAAATTCAAATTCATCCACGAAATAGCAGCTGTATCTCCAACAGTAAACGGACAAAACGGTGTCTCTAGCGATAAACAAACCATTATTCTTACTGGATCCACTGGAAGCTTGGGCTCATACTTGTTATTTACCCTTCTGCGAAGTCCTTCGTTATCCCACATCCACTGTTCAACAGAGGCCCTGATTCCCAACAAGCCTAGAAAAAGCGAATCGCTGCCACTGGACTACCATTTAATCTACCTATCGACCGAGTGTCCTTCCATACGGTCGACTCTGCCAAGGGATATTTCGGCCTAAAACCATCCACCTACAACACTCCCCTCTAGACAAATACAAAGAATTTTTTAAATGGCTGGTCTGTAAACTTCCACACCCCCTTCTCCTTCTTCGAACAACAGATCGAAAGTGTAGTTACTTTCGCTAATTTTGTAAAACAAGCAAGCTCCTACCCTATAATCTTCTTTGTCGCTTCTATAAGCTCCTTTAGAGAACTTTCCGATACGACAACCCGAATCCCGAAAGAGATAATTAAAGACTACTTAGTATCTATAAAAGTAGTTTATAGAGAAAGTAAATATATTACCGAGCGCCTTCTTAATTATATAGTATAAAAGTTATATTTCGATATATATATTACTTATATTAGCTAAGTCGCTAGTTAGGTTATTTTACTAGATATATAGAGTAAGTAGAAAAAGTTTTATAGTCTTATAATAAGCTCTATATATATAGGTAATTTACTAGACTCTCTTAGAACTAAGCTTTATTAGATAAAAAAGATATCTATTAATCTGTTACGAGTAGCGTTAGCCTCGGCGTCGTAATACTCCTAGGACTAAAAGTCCTAGAATTAGGCGAGGTTATAGGAATCGAGTAGTTTCTAGGACTACCGTCTAACGACTTAATTTAGTTAATATTAGCTATATTTAGGATAGCGGATAGGCCCCGGTTTTAGGGTACTGTTATATAAGTAGCTAGGCCTAACTCTATAGAAGTTACGTAGGTAGCCGCTCGGTCGACTACGCCTACGTAGAGTGTAAGGTAGAAAGTTCTATATAATAATTGTAATTTCCTTAGATAGAAGCTTTATACTTAACTTATTATAGTAATAGTATATTATCTATTTAACTTACTCTTATTATAATAAATAGATCTCTAAATCTATAAGTAATAATCTCGCGCCTACTTCTTAATATACTAACCTTATAATAACTCTAGTCTACTCTAAGTAGAACTAAATCGTTATACTTTAAGTACTCTATTCTTAGTAAGTACTAGATTATTAATAATAGCTCTAAATATTACTAGTCTAGTCGAAAGTATTATAGAAACCCCGGTACTACTACTACTACTACTAGCCTCTACTGTAATCGAAGCTAAGAAGGGCCTACAAATCTCTCTACTAGATAAGTATAATAGAACTCTAGCTAACCTAGAATAGTTTATTATAAAGGCTTAACTCTATATAGATTTTTATAGAGATAAGTTTAGAAATAAAATAGATAAGGTCTTATTTCTAATCTTACGCTTTAAGGAGAGGGCTTATAACTAGATTAAACCTTATATTAGCGATTACTAGGAGAATAAGACCTAGGCGGGCTTAGTATCTATAGTTTACTTCTAGTTCGTTAAAGATTATTTTAAGTTACTAAGAGACTTTATAGCTAGTATAAGAAAGACTTTTAGAGATATTAATATTAAGAAAAAGTTAGAGCTAGCCCTACTTAAGCTTACCTAGACTAGGTTAGCTATCTACTATAATATCGACTTCTAGTAAACCTTAGCTAGATTAGAACTAAGTAATAAAGCCCTAAGAATATTATTCTATAGAGAATTAAAGAAATTTATAAAGAACGAATTATCGCGTATAGATTCTCTTAAGACTCTTTATAAGCTAAGTAAAGCCGCTATTAAGATTAATAACTAAGTATATAAGCGCTATATTAAAAAGAAAGAAGTCTATTCTTACTATATACGTCTATTAAAGAACCGCTATAGCGATCTAATAAAACTTAATATAATTAGTAGAAGGGAACTTAATACTTTAGAAAAGAATAGAAAGAAACTTTCTAATAAGGAGAGAATACGTCGAAAGAAGAAGAAACTCTACTTTAAGTATAGAAAAGAAGGTTATATAGCTAGCTTCTATTATAAAGAAAAGCTATAAAAAGACTAGAAAAAATAGTTCGGCTCTACTAGATAACTAGTAGTAATAGATAGAGCTACTCTACTAAAAGGTAATTAGAGTAAGTAAGAGGCTACTAAATCGAGTTTAGTAGTCTAAGTAAGATTCGAAATACCTTCAATAAAGAAGAAATACTAGATCGAAGACTCCTTATACTAGATAGACTTAAAACTTAATAGTCTCTCGGTCTACTAACTCGAGAAAGTAGTCCTAAAACCTAGAGAATACTAGTACTTTTAAGAGATAATAGAAGAGGAAAATATTTAGATAACTAAAGATAGTTAGAAGTTTACTACTAACTAATAGATATAGAGAGAGAAATCTATAATTAATATATATTATAAAGTATCTTTTATAGATATAAAAAGAGTAGTATTCTAATAAGAATATACTTAGAAAATAACTATTAAACTACTTAGACTAATTAGATAGTTACTCTACTTAAATAATATTCTTAAGCTAGAAGATATATAAGAGATTATTAGTAGATCTCTAGAAAAATATATCTAGAAATAGGTCTTCTTTATTAAAGAATAAACTAACGAGTTTACTTAATAGAAAGCCCTATTTCTAGATATATATACTCTACGCCTTAGTATACTCTATTATTTATAAGAATAAGTAATATAATACTATATATAGACTAATCTACTTTGAGATATAGAAATTATAAAGATATTATTAGACTCTTATAAGCTCTATACTACTAGAGAATAGAGATAAATTATAGTCGAAATAAAGATTAGAGAAAAACTAATTAGAGTTATAATTAACTTAAGAGCTAATAGAAACTATATCTTACTCTATATAGTAAAGAAGTTAAATATTTCTATAACTAATATTTAACTATACTCTCTAAAACTCGCAAATAGGTTAGATTATAGTAGTAGATAGGTTAATAAAGTAACTATTCTATTAAAACTATTCTTACTAGATAGATATAAAACTAATATCTAGTTTAATATTACCGAAATTAGAAACTACGAGGCTATATTAGAAATAGCCTAGATTCGAGAATATAACCCTAAAATAGACTAGTATATAAATACTATAACCTATAGAAGATACGCCTATAAGAGTATATAGGTTTAACTATAAGGCTAAAGAGAGGTTTATACTACCTTCTCTAAAGTACCCGGATACCTCGAAGAAATAGAGAGTTCTCTATAGGTTACTATTAATAAAGGTAGAGAAAAATAAATACCTATATAGTATAGAAGATTTAAGAAGTTATTCGAAAACTCGGAAAACTTTCGAGTCTTACCTAAATACTAACTATAGAATTATAAGATTAATCTAAAAGAAGAAAGATAACTACTTTTCGAGAAATTAAGATAATACTAGTTTAACGTCTTCGAGATATTAGAGAAATATATTAATATAATACTTAAGAAAGAATAGATTAGACTATTTAAATTACTAGTTACTTTAAATATACTAGTAATAGTAAAGATAGGTAATAATAAAGAGAGACCTTATAGAGACTTCTAAAGGCTAAATAATATTACTATTAAGAACTAATACTCTTTACTAAATACGTAGTATCTATAGAATAGACTAGCTAAAGTAAAAATATTTATAAAACTTAACTAGAGAAATACCTTTAACCTTATTAAGATTAAGAAAGAATATAAGTAAATAACTATATTTATTATACTCTCTAGCTAATATAAATATACTATTATATTATTTAAGTTAACTAACGCCTCTATAATATACTAGAGATAGAACGATAATATCTTATAAGAGTATCTCGATAAGTTTATTATTTATTATCTTAATAATATACTTATTTATTTAGAAAATAAGAATAAATATAAGAAGTATATCTATTTAGTTCTAGAAGCCCTAGCTAAGGTAGACTTAAGACTAAAGCTAAAGATATATAAATTTAGTACTTAAAAAACTAAGTTTCTAGAGTTTATTATTAAACTAGAAAAAATTAATATCGACCTAGAGAAGATCTAATAAATAAAGAACTAGCTAGAGTTAGAAAATATTAAAGATATCTAGTTATTTCTAGGTTTTAGAAACTTCTACTATTAATTTATAGAAGAATATTCGAAAATTACAAGACCGCTTACTAATCTTACTCGGAAAGACGTATCTTTCCTTATAGGAGAAAAAGAGAGAGCGGCTATATAAGAATTAAAAGACTAGTTTACTAAGAAACTAGTTATTAGAAGTTTTAGTATTAATAAACTAAGTATAGTCGAGACTAATACCTTAGATACTACTATAGATACTATTTACCTATAACTAGACGAGAATAGAAAAATATACTCTATTATATATTACTTCGAGAAATACTTACTAGCTAAATAGAACTATAATATCTATAAGAAGAAACTTATAGCTATA